AAAAAACTGGACTAATGACATAATCACCAAACAATATTGACTGAAGGAGTTGCCGCCAATTATTTCAACCTAGGAAATATTCTACCTTCATACGAGAGTGATGTCTGAGAGAAATGTTGCATTCTTGGATGACAGCGACATTTAGATATTGAATTTTATAATAAAACTACTGACTTTGCTTTTGGTTAAAAAAAAAAAATCAGCAGACTTTATGGGGTGTGGCTGCCCTGCATTTGCTCTCAATCCTGACAAATTTGCCCAAATGTTTGTCTTACCTTATTGGGATAAAAAGACCCCATTTCTGCATATGCTGGTATTAATGAAGAAATACAATTTTTGCTTATGACATGGTTTATTTAATTGCAGTTAGTTTTAATGATGGGATTACACAAGTTTGGAAGGTTCAACTTCAACATAAATAGTAATACCAAGAGCAGTGATCGAAACCAGCTAGTATTAAGACACCATGCTGTGCTTTGTACTTGTCAAAAACCAGTCTCTCAATCATAAGCAACCAACCCACTTAAAGTAACCTATGCGAATTGGCTCTTAAAGGTCTCATGCTGACCTATGCCTTAGACCCTTAGGTAACTTGCCTTACCAGTGCAGTGTGGACCTATAATGGACCTAAAATACATCTGGCACATGCATCCCAATATTGCATAGAATGTGACCACCATCTGTATCCAGGGTCAGTACTTCTTGACCAGTCAGGAACTAACTTAGGACATAAAACTACCCTTGTGATAGTAGCAGTATCATCATACACCTCAAAGCTTCACATGCTTGCACATAGACTTAGGCAGCATAGTACATCATTTCTGCATAATTCAATACATCATGTTGTCAATTAATACACTTGTCTTTTAAGGGAAACTTAAATAGATAATAATAACAAGCAACTTAACAATCCATTCCACTTAATTTGATCACAGTAACAGCGAGTAAATTGCCAGAGCTTGCAGTTTTTGTGCTTGGCATACACATCAACAACGAGAAGTATAAAAGGCATAACCCATACTGTTAAATTATCATCCACATTTTATGGTCATAATCAATTTGTGAACTACTGAAAATACCTTTAATGTCTAAGATACAAGTATCTCCCTTCTTAACTACTGATAGTTGGACTATTACTCTGTTTTTGTCACATGTCCTGGATAGCCTTTTAAGGTTCATTCATAGTTCATATAATAACTATTCAGATTCAATCAGGACATTTGAAGGTGAAAGTAAATTTTTCAAACACCGGTCCAACTTAAGATCAATTCCATGCACTAATTCTGCTTTCTTTAAGAATTAGTGATAAAACAATGAAATAATGCAAGACAACAAATCCATTGTACAGTTCATGCATGTTTAGCTGCAAGAAATGGAAGAACTCTTCTTGCCCTTGTTCAGGAGATCCTTGAAGTTGACATTTACCTGAAGTTTGGCACGAGTCTCGGCGGGTTTAGAATCCAAGCAGAACCTGACAGAGTAGAATACATGTGTAAATTTCTATGTGCACATAAAAGGAAAAAATAAAAATCAATATGATCATCCTACACATCTTGACTCTAAAGAATTCCATGCTGAACAGTTACTATTATTATCTTTTCTTGTTCAAATGTGCTGAATACAGGATTTAGACTGAAGGGCACAGTTCAAGTTCTACAACCTACCTCTTAAACTCCTCCAACTCTTTTTCATATTCATCCATATCTCCATTATCCAAGTCCAAATCTTGCTTGGGCATGAAAATTTCATCTGAAGTAAAATGGGGGAAAAGCTGAGAAAATGGCTCTGGACTACAAGAAGTGTATGTTCTAATTTTTATGTCATAAGTTCAATGCAATAAAATTCTAAAACAATATACTTTGTTGCAAGGTCTGAGAGTTTGACTCTTGATGTTCTTGCTAAGACATTTCAAGGTCACTCACCAATAGTTGCTGCAGCAGCTGCAGACTTCTTCTTTTTCTTGCTCTTGCTTTTAGTCTGGTTGTTGCTGGGTGAGGTTTCCTCCTGTCCGCTGGTTGGGGACACTTTCCCATTCATCAGCTGACCTTTGTCATTCACCCCTTGTTTGGACTTCTGCTGAATCCTTGGACTCTGAGTAGCCTGGGGCACCTGTTTCTGCTGATGATTGAAATCCAACTGTTGTTGCTGTTGATTTTTACTCAGTTGTTTTTGCTGCTGCTGCTGCTGTTGAAGCTTCTGATTGCAGACCATGGATTGTGGTGTCTTGTTGTTAGTTTCCTGGGGCTGTTGCTGTAACTTGCCATGCTGTTGTTGTTGTACCTGCTGTTGTTTCCCACCATGCTGTTGTTTAGCTGGCCTTTGCTGCTGTTGCTCTTGAATTATCTGACCATTGGCAATTTTAGCCACTGTGGTATCTGAGCTCTGATTACCTTTACTTTCCTGTTGGCCTGGTTTGGACTTGTTTTTCCTCGCTTTCCCTTGTGGTAAGGCTTCCCCACCAGTGCCAATAGTATTGATTTCATTTGTGGTTGTCACTTTACTTTTCCCTTGTTGCACCTTGCTTTGCTTGTCCTTGTTGTTTTGTTTGCTGAGCTTTGGCACTTCTGGCTTTTCTGTAGTGGTTGGTTCCGCAGGGGTGATTTGGCTACCAGCTTTCTGCTCTGCAGAGGATGATGTATCTTGCTGTTGGTTGCTAGTGTCTTTGAGCTTGTTTTTCTTTTTCCTGACATTCTGCTGCTGCTGCTGTTGTTGTTGTTGTTGCAGCTGAAGCTGGCGTTGCTGCTGCTGTTGCTGTTTCTCCAATTCCTCCTTTCTCTTCTGCTCTTTCTCTCTCTCTTGCTGCTCTGCCAACTTTCGGGCCCTTTCTTCTGCCTGTAATTAAAAGCAACTTGCTCAGTTCAATATCAAACTTGACTTCTACTCCCTTACTAAAAACACCTGCACTAAGTTATTGCATAAAAATATCAACTTTTTAAGCTGGCTAACCCCCCTTTCAGAACTTCACCTGAATGTGAACCATGCAATACCTGCTAGTATGTTTCAGCAAAAACAGTTTGACAATCATGATAACAAAGGAACTTTAAGTCACATTCTCTTTTGAATCCCTGACCTTTTTCTGTTTCTGCCTGGCTCTCTTTGCAGCTTTGGCACTAAGTTGTTTCTCTCCATTGGAATCTCCACCATTGATGAAGTTGACCAATTCCTCAAGGCCCATGCGTGTGACAGGATCCTCATGGGGCTGTGGCTGAGCTGGCTCCTGCTTGTGAGGCTGCTGTTGGAGAAGCTGGATCTCCTGGTGTTGACACTCTTCGCGCTCTTCACGATCAGGGTGGTACTCGTTCTTACGTTTCAATTTTAGTCGCAACCGATCTCTCATCTCGAGGAAATTTTTGCTTGTTGGTGCATTGGGAGGCTGAAGAAAAGAAGTCACAGTTGTGAAAACATGCCTTTTACAACAGTGCAAGACTTACCTTTTCCTTTTAGTGTTTTTAATTCAGAATATAATGGCATATTGCATTGACAAATAACCCTCCAAGAGATATTTACATGTAAGTGAAGATAAAATAAATTCACAAAACTGTCTAAACTTAATGAAGTTTTAACACTTACATTGCCATGCCCAAAGAATTCACAGTAACAGCAGTCACAGTATTTGCCATCCTTCTGGTTGGATGTGGAAGTGGAAGAGCTCTGTTCTGAACAACTATCCTCATCATACGTGTCATCATGGTGACCATCACATTCAGGATCGGCACAGCCTGTTGATGTCCCCACACTTACATTATTCATAGCAGCTGAGTTACCCAGTGGGCCGCCATACATTCCGCTGGAATCCATACCTGCTGTGGGAGGAGGTGGCTTGGACAGGCCTTGCCCGGTGTTGTTGTTGTTGTGGAGATGATTGCACGGGTGAGGGAGATTGAGATTCAGCCCAGCACCAAATGCTTGACTGACCAACTCTTCAGCTGTCCCTGGAGGTAGCACTGGCAGCTTCATAGACTCCAGGGAGAGTTGGTGGGCAGAGGCCGAGGACGCTGGTACTGACGTGAATGTATTGGTGGTATTTGACAGAGGAAAATGACTGACAGAGAAAGGATTACTGGTTGGACTATGTTTCAGACAGTGGTCCAGATATCCAGGATCCACTTTCCCACCAAAACTCATACCAGCAGGGGATGCCAAATTTGGATGCTGTGGTGCTTTACTCACAGGTTGGTTAAACGTCGTCCTGTTTATTGGTTTCAGGTTCTTAAAACAGTTCTCTTTCTGTGCAACATGGTCAGCTAGAGTGGGCATAGGAGCAGCCAGTGAGGTTTTGCTGTTTCCAACTGTGCTGTGAGGAGCCGATGCTTTTGATGGGCTTGAAAATACATTCTGGTCTATGGAGAAAGGAGGCCGCTGATCTCCTCCAAGAAACGTATTTGCATTGAGCAATGGAGGAGGGGGTCCATTCAGCAACTCTGACCCAAGGCTGCTTCCAAACTTAGCATGAGGAAACATAAAGTTTGTATGGTCATAAACATTATCCCATTCAGAATACGCATTATAAATGTGCTCATGAAGGGCTTCTTGGGAATCCAGGTCTAAGTTCAAATTGAGAGGCTGTTTCTTTTGAGGTTGGATGATGGGTTTGGGGAAGTGTTGTAGAGGAGTGTGCAGATCATATAGCTGAGGATGGAGAAAAGGTCTCACAGCCTGTGGTCCGGCCAGCCCCTGTAAACTGTTAGACCCATGGATGTGAGGGTACAGGTTGAAGGATGCGGGTGTGTTTGTCATGGACACCGGTGGTTGAGGGAGCGATGTTGGTATGGTCTTCCCAAGCTGCTGAAGACATGCATGACACTGGCACTGGTTCTCCTCCAGCTTCTTCTGAAAACAGAAAAACAAATGATTATGTCACAATGCTTAACCTATAATGATAATGAACTTACAAACAAGAGCATAGACATAACTCAGTTTAAGACAATTTAAATGACTGCTAAATCAACAAGTAGTAAAAACCCATTTAAAAGCATATAAACATGCTTTGGGGAAACACCAAATTATGTATAATTGAATCAAAATGACTGAAGTATTTACCTGCTCCAGCTGAGCTTGAGCCCTAGCCCTCTGAGCAATGGCCTGAGCTTGCAAACACTGAGGACAGGAACACTGGGCTACACCATCACCAGACTTTGGCACTGGGTTAGACCACTGGTCTGGGCTTTCACCCACAACATCTGCAGTCTTCACTCCACTAACATTTTCCATTTCTCCCTTCTCTTGTCCTTCTTCCTCCTCATCTTCATCTTCCTCATTGTCCTCATCATCATCGTCGTCATCCTCACCCTCATCATCGTCGTCTTCAGCCTCATCATCACCCTCTTCACCCTTTGAATCCTGCCCACCTGTGTCCTGGGTTTCTGATGCTTCTACATATTCTTCATTGCTGCAAAACAAGTGTCATAGTTCGATGATTACAAACAAAAAATATAAATAATAAATAAATAATTTTTTTTTTAATTTTGGCACTTTGAAAACAAAACTGAAACAGAAAGTTATCATTCACGTCCCAGGCACTGTATGTTCCAAAAGGCATAAATCAAAAACCTTCACAAGTCTTTTCTCACAAAATTTGTGCTGAAGACTAAGATATAAGGAAGATAACGAACATTTAAGAACCAACGTATGGATTTTGAGCAGCTGAACTAAACAGGGCATCCAACAGACTGAGTATTAAACTCTATACTCATTTCCAAAATAAACTTACTCAGAGTTGTCCTGATTTTCATCAAAGGGCAGTGTAAGCCTCTCTGGGTCCACAATAATAGGACTAGAAGAGCCACTACTAGAAGTGGTGCTGGACACTGATGGGGGGTCCACATCAATGACATAGCGTGAGGGGTCGTAGTGCGGCAGGGGAAGAGGTAAGTGAGTGTTCATCCCATCACTGACCTCTGGGCTGATAATACCACAAGTTATCATATGGGAAATAGTGCATTCATCACAAGAACACCTGAAATGAAACATATGAGTTGTTAAAAAAGTTTCACAAAAAAACCAAATATTACTTCACTTGGTGAGAGGAAATTACTTTTTTCTTTGCCAGTTAAACAGGTTAGACGATGGAATTTTGGTTTAAATGTTTAACTGGCTTTAAAAAATTGAGTGTATGTCTGAAACAAATACTATGCAAATGACAATATAACAAAGACTTAAAAGCTCTTTTTGTACTTTAAACAATAAACAGAATTCATTGTGAACCCATGTGCCTGAGACAACAAAAACTGTCTGACACTGAAAATCTGATTCTAATTTTCCTCATTACTCTGCCTTCTTTTATAACTTGGGATAGAAATGGAGGCTTTTGTTTGCTTTTGTACCTACTGAATATTTAAAGAAATTTCTTTCCAATCTTTAGGCCAGTCAAATGAGGCAACAACCTCTTGTGACCCAAGGTATTTCACAAATACACACACCTTTTCCTGTGACAGTTGGGACATTCCACATGCATCTCTGTCGCCTGAGGTTTTGGGCCAGCTAACAGTGTCTTCATGGTCTCTGTGAACTGGACCTCAAGGCTAAGAAGGAATAAAAAAATAATACTCTTGTCCTTCAGGTATTTTAACTTAACAAACAACCATGATAGAGTTTACTATGAATTAGAACAATTCTTTTTTTTATTCCAATGTAGTTAAATGCATTCCCTCATTTTACAATACTGTGGCATTTAACACACAATATCCAATCTGTATTACTTACTTGTGCTGTTGAGTTTTGCTGGTATTATTTTTAAGAACTTGTTGCTCCAATAGTTTTCTTTGTGCTTTGAAAAATTCCCAATCTTCCTTAAGCATCTTCTGTTTGGCTTTCAGGGCAGACTAAGAAAACAATAATATACAATTATAAAACAGTGTTGCTGTTCAATTAGTCAACATGTTTCAAACTTGACACGAAAACAAGTGACAAATATTAACAAACCACATTTAAATGAAATCATATTTTGTTAAAAAAAGGTGTGTGGCATCTCCATGAACTTGCAGATAAATAAGCATAATTTAAAAAAATAAATTTTTTGTTTATCTCTTAGTACATGCGTACAGAAAATTAAACACTAATTTAATGGTCAGGTCAGTGAAAGTCTTTTTACGGACAACATACTACTGAAAATGAAGGAGCAAAAACTTCCCAGTGTCAAAACTCATTACTCACCTGTTCTTCATTGTATTCCTCCATGAGATGCTGGCAATCCCTCCACACTACAGACACCACTGAGAGTTCATTGTCAAACTTGAGATAACTGTGCAGCAGATTTGGATAGGTATCCTCATGATATGACTCCTTAGATGCTGCTCCCAGCCTGCAGAAAATACAGACAAATAACTGGAGAAATTGACTATATGGCTGTAAATCAGCAGCATTCTTTAACTCGATTTTTTTCTCACCTAAATCAAACTGTAGAAATAAACACCCTTGTAACTGGCTGCTGGATGTGTTTTATAGAAACTATGAATAACACCATACAAGCTCAATGGCCTCATGCCAGGTACAAAGGATCCAAATATATGTGATGATATAACTGTCCTGGATTAGAGACTTACCTGAGCTGAGTGAGCAGCATGGGCAGATTGTTCTGAACCAAAGGATCAGAGTATATGATACTGTGAAGAAGGTGCTTGTTGTGTAGCTCCCATGTCAAATTGAATTTTTTAAGATGCTCTGTCTCCTGAAAAAGCAATTTCAACAACATTGACTAGACTTCAAAAAAGTTGGATATACAATCACTTAAATAAACTCAAACCCTTAATCAAATGGTCACAATTTTTAAGTTGAAAGACAAAGACATAAAGCAGTGTTTTCTTTCTGTTAATTCATTTCCTTAATACTCTTTCAGGTTACTTACCAACTCTGTCATGAAAGATGAAATGGTTTTTGCAGCTTTACAGAGATTGCTGTATTCCTCCAGCAGCATGGAAACAAATTGTTTGGCTTGTGCAGGCGTCTTCTGGCCTTGGTTGAGCTGTTTGAGAAGTCGCACCTTCATCTCTATGACATATTCTCTTGCCTGGGACTCTAACCGCTGGAAAAGCTGGTGTGGGTCCCTTAGGCAAAGCCTACAATTGAAATAGCAATTCTATATAAAATCTTACATATAGATAAATTCACTACAAATAATAAAGAACTAATGTTTTACTAAAATGCTAATTTCACACACTTTCTAGCTGGAAAAGCACCAGCTCTTGGTTTGCAAGTGAGTAATTATTGTCACACCTGACTGTAGACTGCTGAACCATATAATCATCTGCATAGTGCTAAAATGGTTGTAACTCAAATTACCTGTGTACCAGATCTTTCATTTTATTCAAGTCTGGTAAAGCTTCAGTCTCCCCCTCATTCTCATTCTCCTCCAACCCTGTGCCAGCCTGTCTGTAAACACAGCGTACAACATGCCGCACCTCCATCCAACACTGCTGCAACTCCTGGGTCTCCTTGTGGTGCTCATTTTCAATTTCCCTGAAAATTTCCAATTTTAATATTGGCATCAGTCAGGAAGGAGCTGTATATTCTTTAGATTTTAGCTGAAAGTGTTCTTTTTAATTTGAGACTAATTTTCCATTCCTATCAGTGTGTCACTTCTTTCTTGGTAAAGTGGTAAACAATAGATCCAATCATTTGAATTCTGTGATGTTGGCAATCCTAAATTGCACTAGTACACACACTTAAAAAAAGACTGAGGTTGAGAGTGGCACAAACCTCACTGGTTCAAAGAAAGTGATGTACCTTCTTTCAGTGCAAGCCTCACAAGTACAGAGGGTTCCATTGGGTGTGGTGGGCTCAGACGCAGGAGTTAACATACTGTCTGTGAGAGTGAAGGGCTGATTCGCATCCATGCGCAGCTCTTGCTCCTTCAATGAAAATTATGTACTAGTAATCATACATTAACAAACAGTGCAATACAAAAGAATACAACAGAATATAATCAATGAAATATAATACAATCTTTACAATACAATACAATACAATACAATACAATACAATACAATACAGTCCTGATCACTGAAGATCTAGAGTGATTTCAAGAAATACAAGTTTGCATAAGCTTTACTATGTTCAGTACGCATGCAATGCCCTGTTTTTAAAGCATTGTAAATTTAGCCTTTGTATTGTAACAAAAATCTTTGTTATCAACAACTTCAAGAAAACTCCCCTGGATCAGTCATGTTCCTCATACTACTAAGTAAATGCTAAATGCAATAGTATTTTTATATGATCAAGAGATATCTTAAAGGTCAAACAGTATTGGAGTATTCTCTTACCAAGAATGAGGTATCTATGCCAGCTTTCTTTTCTTCCTCTTCTACAGTCTTTCTACATTCAGGACACACCCAAAGTGGCAACTGAAAGTGCAAGCATTAATCCTAGATGTCATATGTTTCTTAAATGCAAATCATTATAATCCTGACATTCTGGCTAAGTGATCATCCTCGGGATTGTAAAATTTCAAAAGTTCAAAGAAAATTCATTTAGTCTTAAATCAAATATTACAAGGCCAAGCCATACACTGCAATATTAAGTTGAAAAATCATGTCTTTCTAAAAGCACTGAATGAGCTTAAAAACAACAGTACAACCAGCATTTTTACTAATATTCCAATATATATATATATATTGGAACATCAACATATTTTATTCAAAAATATGAATTTGGACTTTTTGATAAATTTATCTTCTGAAAATTAACTATTATAATTGATACAACTTCTAACTGAGAAAATAAATAAAAGCACTACCTTTAGTGGGCACGAATGTGTAATAAAACCAGTTTTTAAATCTGCAGAAACTATGCCCTAATCACATTTATATAGTTTTAATACTTAGATGTCACTCAACCAGTCCCCCCCTCCCAAACCGTTTGATCTTATTGTGATACGACTGTGGGCTATATAAAAGTCAATACCACAATACCACTGCTGAACTTACTTGAGTGAGCCCCATAGCTGCAGCCTTTTCCTTTTCTGACTCTGAAAAATGTACAACTCAAACAATGAAACATTGAAAGACAAGAAAATGAATTTGGAGACGTTTGTAATCAGTTGCTTTTTTGAAATTGGCAAATCATGTAGGAAATTGACATAACTGAATGATCCATCACCATGAACCAAGTTCATTTTCAAAGACCCATATTTTGTAATATTAAGGCTTGATCTCCGTATGCATATTTTATTTATTAGACATTGTTTTACATGTTGGCATTTTGGTAGCAGTTAACAATTTACATCATTATTACTAACATCTAAAGTGGGCTGAAGTAAACTTATGCTATTTAGGTTCTGTAACTCTGAAGTCATGAGATGATACTAAATAACCTACAACTTATGCTTTAAAAAGACAAGAGAAATGTCTGCACACATTGTAATGCTGCTGACGTAAACACCACTTGTCATGAAATACTATTATCTTGAGAAGCTATTTATGGTATGTTATCTGAGTGCTCATCTATGCTATACTTTTCCTTCCTTAAGAGTTTGTGACAGTGACCACAGATTGCCCATCCCATCAATTACCTTTATTGGCTTCCTCTATTTCTTTCAAGTGACTAGGTCTTTCACAACGGCAAAGCAGGCATCTCTCACCGCCAAGATATGGGTTAGGGCCCCTGGAGAAATTGGGCACTGGATCATCAGAGTCTTCTCCTGCATCCATCAATCTCTCAATTTCTTTCATTTCTTCAAGATCCTACAGGCAAATAAGATAATTTGCATTAGTACAAATAATTCAATAATGTCTGAACCATTTCATATTTGATGGAAGGCAACACCCATCATTTACACTGACATATATCCTAAATCTAACCTTCAAACATGACAAGAAACTAGACATCACAATCAACAGACTCTCAAGCCATTAAAATTTCTTAATAAAACCTTCTAGTACAGATTGAAATAAATGTCAGAGGAAAAACTATCAGAATATAATATTAAACAATTTTATCAATAAAAACTGGCTGGAAATTGCTGTTATAAAAAGAGTGACCATTTAGATTCATTGCAGTTTTACATCAGTAGCTCTCCTTTTCCATATTTTGCCTATAGATCAGTATGAGACACTGGCCAAATATATGGCAACCTAAATGCATCCGAAGACTTCATGTTGGCAAATACCATGAATACAAATTCAATCTTGCCATCCATACCCAGTGCAGGGTTGATCAATAATGTCTGATAGCATTTCTGCATGAGAAAAGAACACACAGAATAATTCTGGTGCTTTGGCGCACATCTTCATTCATTTGATTAGTCAATTTCTCTGCAGAACAACACAGAGTTCACATTTATTCTACCATATTTTTATTTAACCAGAAATAAAAAAACAACACATTTACAACCAAATGAGTGATTTGTAGAAAACTGTTCCAAAATATATCTGCTATTTTTTTTTTTTTTTTTTTGCCCCTGGCAAGATTTCAATTTAGAGGCATGAGCACTGCAATCACTAAGGTAATATAACAAAAGTGAGCTGTGTTTGACCTATAAAGTTTATATATAGAAGTAGCTAATTCTGTCTGGGAGGAGAGGGAAATGAACAGCTGCACTGTATATACAGCTGTTTCATATATAAATATAAACATATATTAATATAAACATAGCAGACATCTTAGGCTGCGAGAAATTTGTACTTGAATGAATGTACAGCAATAGGATGTATCAGTTATACAAAGCCATATCTTAAAACAATGTCGCACTAACCTACAAAGGTTACACACAAAGGATCAAAAATATTCCACTGGGGGTAGGGGGGCGGGGAGGGGGGCAAGTATCTGTGCTGCCATTATTGGTTGAATGAACATTAAGGAGAATTTAAAAAATAATAATACAATTACCTTGAAATCAAACAGAGCAGGCACATAAATCCTAGGCATTCAAGAGATTTCAAATGTAACACACAGACACTAATACCAAGCTCTACTAGCAACTAGGTATAAAAGAATGCAGGCCAAATTCCTCCTTTGCTGAAATCCCAGCTGCACTGCAGCCCATCTCCCATTTATATATATCTCAACATGTATTGATCATGAACTTGCATACAAACAACAGGCTTTTATGTCAAATCAATAAATGTAAGAGTTCCACAGATGAGTCTTATAATAATCATCAATTTTTGTTTTAACATATATAAATATTCTCTGACATACAAAAGCACACACATACTCATAAGCACATGCATTCATATCAAATTTTCATGAAGTAAAAACCCTACTGGACTGTAATTGGCTTATTAGAATGTGAATCCCACTCAACCCTCATGCTTCCATTAATGGGGGTTCCAATGTGTATTTCTGGTTGTATCACTGCCTTCACTGCACTTAAAGCTTAAGAAAACTGGTTCTAAAAATTCAGTGCCAATCTGTCAAACATATCCAAGCATAGCAATCAGGCAATGACAAGTATGTGCTTGAAACCCCTGCCTGCTGTACACAGGGAACTATTCTATTGGCTGTTCCAAACAAGGACAAATTTCTGGTTCACCTGTGCACCACTAGGTTTGCTAACACCAGGGATAAAGGGAGCATAGCTGAAGAGAAACTGCCTTGGCACTGTCAAGACTTCATGCTCTTGGTTTGCAAATTACAAAGACAGAAATTAAGTATGGCAAAAAAATATTAAATGGAACCGAAAATACCAAAAGCATCTAAAGAGAATGAAGGTTGGAGGAAATTTAATACAAAGTAAAATACATAATAATTTCAACTACACAAAAAAATGTAACTGGTTCTGATTGCATTCATAGTAACTTAACATCCTTAGAATTTGAATCTACATAGTTGACTTTATAAACACAAATACTAGCCTAGCAGGATATTAACACTGTACACAGCAATGCTGGATTTAATTGCCTTTTGTCTTAAAATCAGCTGAGGACAACAACTTATAAAGTGAGGAACTTATTACATTCCTAACATGACTGAAAATAATGTTAACTTCTAAAGACATGATATTGTCTAGACATGATGCACTTGAAACTTAATTCATGGATATCTACTAGCAAAGAAAGACATGCATTAGTGACCCCTGTTAAAATTATGTGATATATGCCAAAACATGAAAGATGTAAGTATAGTTATCTTTACAATGGCGTTTAGTTAGTGCATCCATCTTACTGCAGGAGGACTTGATCTTTTACATACCCCCTTCCTCCTAAAGTGGCACATTGCTAAAAAGGAAACGTTTTGCAACCGAAAGCCCTGAGAATAAGGTAAGGCTACCTTGCTCATTTACCAGATATGGAGACAACCATAAACTAACTTCTGCAAGCAAGGAGTAGGTCAGGAATTGTTTCCCATCTGAAGACCACCCTCTGATATCACAGGGGCATCTAGGACAGATGTTACAAAATTGAAGAGTCAAATTTCAACAATTCTGTTACAGACTCCTAGCGACCATAGAGGTGAGAGATTTCCCAAAAACAAACTATTATAATTTTTGTTCCAAGTTTATATAGGTCAAGCAACTTCCTGCAAAGCTGTTTGATTTCAGGCAGGAAACATAATTTGACTTGCTGATAAGCCCTGTTATAAATCCAACACACTAGCTAGACATCACTATACAGTTATCTTTACGTATACTTTTCATGTGCTTGCACACATAATATTAAAAAAATAAATAAATAAATAGAAGAAATCATTTTCCTGCTGAAATATATAGCAGCAGAACATGTACAGCGTCAAAATTAGCAATAGAACTTTTTTCTAAATAATTACAACAGGAAAATGGTTAAGATGCTATTTCACGTAAAAAATTCAGCTTGTTAATTAGCACATTTATCAGGCCTTATAAAGTATAGGCCAACTTTGAGTATAAACCTAAATAAACATAAATGTATATAACAAGCATCAAGAATCTTTGATGATTGAGAGTTAATTGGAGTTTATTGGCATCTAAAAATCTTGGCATGAGATCTCAGATTGGTAACTGTTATCAATCGACCTTGCAAAATTCTGATCACCAAGAGCTATAATCAATTCTATCCAGGCATTTCTCAGCAATTGCTGGCACTATTCATTTTTTAAATGACTTAGTGTATGCTTGAGGATTAAATCGTGTATCAGGGCTTTGTTCTAAATTCATATTTTTGATAATTAAAGTGAATTTCGTAAGAAAAGAATTTATTTAACGTCTATACTAATTTTATGCTTAAAAAAGAAAAATTAAAGCTTCTGGAAATTAAGATGTTATATTAAAATATTTCAGCATTGATTATTCCATCTCTCGGGTTATCAAGAGTTTTAAGAACGATGAAGCGGTTACCTCTTGCTTTAAGTGCGAAATATTTGGCTGATTGATCTGGTTGGACGAGGTGTTGGCCGACCTGGTGCCCTTCCTACTTTTCCTCTTCTTGCTCTTTCTGGCATCAACAAAACTCATAGTGAGAATGTGCTTGGCGTGAAATAACTCTAATAATGATGACCAGATCTGATCAAGGGAGTTTTGTACCTTCTTGCTTGTACTTTCCTCATATATTTGTTACCCTACCCATGTAAGACATCACAATCCAATATGGCGGAGTTGGGCATATGTAGATGTCCCACAATGCATTGTATCATATGACTCGCATCTTTCCCAACAGGGGGCCGATCAATCAATCTAAATATAAAAAGTAATCTGCACGTTTAGGATGGAATTCAGTTACGGGAATGTACCGTGAAATGTTCTCACTATGTTCCAGATTATTTTTCTGCGCGCTGTACGTTCCATTTAGACTGTAAATTAAAAATTGGGATATAATGCGCTAGATGTTTAAAATGTTAAAAATTAGAACAGCAAACACATTTTATCCTGGAGACTCATTGCTGCTATGAAACTATATTTTCTATTGTAAGTCCAAAAATGTTACCGACTTAATCTCTTTTAAAATCTTTCTTATCAGTGAAAAATTATTGCAGTTTTGTCTAGACTTTGCACTACTCTTTAAAAACTTTTCTGTGTTGCCAAACATTCAAAGTATAAGTAATCAAAATGTCAAAATTAGTCCTTAGAATGAAAACAATAGACAAATATTCCAATTATCACTTTATTCAAACATTTGGTACTGTATTCTTTGATGCTAATATTAGTATCTATAAAGGCACTTAAGCTGCATTTCCATTTTGTTAATTTTTAATTCCTTCTCCCAGCATTTAAAATCTAAGTACACAAAAAATTAACAATATAAAAAAAAAAAAAAAAAAAAAAAAAAAAAAACCTCCTTGGTGCAGGTTCCTTTTTAAAAATGCCTTCATTTTGACATTGGCATACACACGAAGCATTAGTTGAAAAATTTAAGTTTATAATTAAAAACTAAGTGAGAAGATACAATTTGTGATTTTTCCTTATGTGCCTTTATAAATAATAATCAGCAGGGGCGGATTTAGGCCGTCTTCTGGGTCTTCCGGAAGACGGTCAGATTTTCAAGTTTACATTGACGGGTATCTATTATTTTCTGTCGGAAGACGGTCAAAAATGGAGGTTGGATCAACAAAGATAATTTGGAAAACTGTCAGAAAATATCTCTGGATCCGCCCCTGATCAGTAGCTGTTATACAAAATATATTAATTGCTTAACAATGTAAAATAAATTGTACTGACATCTATATATATAGCAATTTGCGCAAGAAAATAATTCATGAGAATTTCACAATTTTATTCAATAGCTGGATATTCTCTCTTTTTCAATTTTGCAATTCCCCCAGAAAACAGTATAAGTGTAAATGTTATTTTTAAATAAAAATTGATAACAAATGAAAATTATAAAATTCAATGCAGTGAAAGTTCCATGTTGCAAGTTGAACTGGACTCAATAGTAAGGAGAAACTCCCCTCTTTACATCAGAATTGAAGCCTTTCCTCTTATAATTGTGCTATATAAATATGGGATGGACACTTCTATTGTTAAGTTTCTTTCTACATGTTGGACACTTTTTACTGGTTTGAATGGAGCATCTGATACAAACATTGCAAAATATATGACCACAGACTGTAGACTGAAGCTGACGACCACTGGCTTTTATCTGAAAAACAAAACAGTGGTTACTTTTAAGAATTTCAATAATCAAGTGAATAAAATATGATGCTGAAATATCCTACATTAGGCAGCATTTAATCAGAATATACAATGGAACAAAGAATGTGTTCTAAACCACATGTGTGAACCTGTAGGTAAATGCATCATAAAATCATATGTTTCACGTAATTGTCCATTAGCAAATGCAGTATGATATCAGAAAAGTTGTATTACCTGCATTTCATTGTCCATACATATGGGACAAGACACTGCTGATCTTTTTGGGGATGTTATACTTTCTGCATCACCCATTCCAAATCTGAAATACATGTCATAATATATATAGGTCAAATAAAATGGTGGTTATAACAGGTCCAATGTCCTTTAACAAAAAATAAATTGGGTTGCACATCAAACTATTAGTACTCATGCTGTTCAATGCTTAAAGATACTAATTAAAGACAGTTTCTAGTTTTCTAAAGATTAAAAATGTCAATCTCTGAAAATATTATAACAGAGAAAAGAAGATATGACAGCACAGAATTATTTCAAAGCTGGCTTCTTACACAGTTATTTACCCAAAAGAGTTGTGCATCAAAGGTCAAGAAATTTTCCAATAACCATATGTCCAAGTCCACAGTACTGGGTAACAACAAAGGGTTATCATCTTTGAAAGTCTATCAAAATATTCCTATGTGTTGGATTACAATGGGAGTGCTTTCATATGAAAGGGGATGGTTTTCTCTTATTATAACAAACAATTTTGTGTTTCCAGACATTGCTGTGTATTTTAAATTTTTAACTCTTAGCCAAAAATGACACTCAAGCACCGCATGATCTTCCATTCAGGGTCGCAGCATACTTTCCCAACTCTGTGAAGGTAATTGACTCTTCCTTTATGATATTTATACGTGTTTAATGTAAAATTTTTCAAAATTTATGAATATAAAGCAAAATACTATGAATCTAAGTGGAAAGCGTGCTCACTAGATCAGCACCATGTTGAAATTTTGATGCCCGTGTCCTACTGTTGTTACCCACTACCGTGGACATGCACACATTCTTTCCCTACTTTTAACTTTACCAACCTTTCAGGATCTGACTCTGGAATGTGAAATGACACCGATGGCAACTCTTCTATCTCATCATCTGAGCTCAAAACTTCAGTGTTCCTTGCATTCAAAGTATTAAGAGTGTAGCGTAGTCTAGGCCTCCGACGTCTTCTTCTTCTTGATGTAGAACCTTCACATGGATAAAACATATATGTAATTCGTCACAATCTCAATCTTGCCAGTTTAATTAGTACCCACTGTTATGTAAGAAATATAACTACAAAATAAATGAAACACGACAAAAAGCATTTTCCACAGAAAATATTGCAAAAAACACATCTTAGCAAAACTACCACTGTTACAGTAAGATTATTTCTATTTGTGTCTTTCAATAGTAATAGTTAAATACAGATCTAATGAACAAATAAACTGCCAGTGGTAACATACCTTGACCTTGTGACTCTAACACCTGAAGAAGGAAAAGATAAAATTTATGATCTCTAACAATCCTACTCTATCTACTGTATTTATAAGGAACAAGAGTGGGTGGGCGAATTTTCTGAACTAAAATTAAGAGTTTTAGAGAAGTCCTTAAGGGATTTATTTTTCTGTGATAATAAAAGGCAAAACCCAAGAGAAAAACTAGTGTAAAAGATGTCAACATGTATGAAGTGTTTCCTGCCATATTGTTCATACTTGCAATTATGAATATAGAATGTCTGGTCATTTTTCACTTTTCTGATACTCACCACTACTGGGCTGTCATTAACACTTGAATTGACTGTGAGATCTACCACTTCATCCTGGTCATCATCTTCATTAGTAAGATCTATGCATCCAGATATACCTACAAAGCAGCAATGGGAGAACACTAGCAATGGCAAACTACTAATGTGGCTAACTAATAAAGATACAGTATCCCTTAAATAATATTCAATACTTAACACTAAAAGTTGCATCTGATTCATATCAAAATATTTTATGTATGATAAAATAATTAAAGAAATGAAAGAATGAATGAAAGAATGCCAAATACTGATCAATAAAAAAGGTATTGCTTCACAAATAACAGATTTTTAATCAATGCTATTTGCATACTTAAAATCATATTATAAGTCAGCTGCACAAGGAAATTAAATGTTTCAAATGGTTCCATGACTTTTAAGTAAATGCCATTTTTGTTTTATTTTGCTTTACCAATTTTTCAGTTTGTTTTTTTCTGATTTTGCATATCAATTATAGTAACGGCTGATGTATTGTGCAATATCATCATTATCATTATTTTCATAATAAATAACAATGAGTGAACAGTAATGGCCGACTCTGGCCAACAAAAAGATGAGAAGGAGCTCCCTCAATCAATCACATCACCTAAATCAACTTCAAAATTACCTTCGTTGTCATATAAATTCAAATTTATGGGTTCTGGTTCTTCTCTCCTTTCTTCTCCAAGAATGCCATCATCTTCTGCAGTTTGTAATTGTCTACGAGCTTGTCTCGTCCCCCGTCTTGTGCGTCTCCTATTCAACATCTGAATAGTACAGAAACTGAGTCAGTCAGGCGGTCTTATCTTATGGGCACATAAGGGATGAAAAAAGATAATATAAGATATGTAATTACTCCATACAAATATTTTCATGATAGTACTGTGTGTTAGAGAGACAAAATGCCAGTGTAACCTATCTAACTCAATGCAGTTGGGAATTGGGATTTCACCCTTTTGAAGTTATTGTCCAATTGTTAAAAGCAGGTCATGACTTTTACTTTATAAGTTGATGCTGTATGCCAGATGAGTCTGGCACTTGGGTTTTGCATCGACTTTGTCATGAGGTTTTATCTGTAGCAAGTATAGTACAGCACAGAGAGTTTGAATATGCAGCAACCTTGAAGTTAGGATGTGAGCACTGTTTACACTTGATTACATGTTTCTCATTTCTTTCATTCAAAAGCTGTATCACATCGTCAAGTCAGGAGAAGTTCCATAACAACACGTAATGCATTTTGATTCTTTAAATTTGTCATAACACTACAAACTTGACTACAGTCGTAAAGCATTCAGCAGCATTGTGCAAGTGACGTTATTCGACTTTAATCTCATCTAAATGCTGAATATAGGCTAATATTTGTGACTGTCAAGGTCTGATGATGAGTTGAAGCCGTATGTTGGAGGTTAGCCTTATATATAACTTTTTACTAAACACCATAGCAGAATACAGTGCTTCTTTGAAAACAGTGAAATAATGTACGCTAGGCTTGGGAAAACTTGATAAACACAACCAAGATTGTTTTATTTCATTCACTTACCGAGGTCATTTTGGCTCTGAATTATCTGCGTTCAGGTGGCAGCTTTTACCAAGACAGGCCCATTACAAAATTAAGTAATTTTTGTTTTTTGTTTTTGCTTATCATACACCGATAATTGAGTAGTTTAAATGTTTTATAAGTAGTAAATTTATTTTGGAACAAAATTCACCATTTAAGTCATAGAACGGATTATTGTTGTTATACAGAGGTTTACTGCCAACTGTATACAGCAGTACGTTATCGCAATGCAAGCACAAAATCTCAACAATGTGCTTAAATTCACAACTAATGCAATCGATATAATATGTGCAGTTCAGAATTCATGATAGGGCCTAACATTTTCAAAAACATTTAATCTAAAAGATTCTTCATATATTGAATACAACGATGGAACAAAAGCGATCCCAATTGTTATTGAAGCAATATTATAGATGGGATAGGACAGCTGCTGGAAGCCGATCTACTATATCAAGAGCGAAGTAGAAGGATATAAAAAAAGGAGATGGACCAAAAACCCCCACCCCCATCCACCAAAAACCCCCACCCCCATCCCCGACCTGCCGCATCTGATGCTCCCCACGACTGAGATGATTTTTTAAAGTAAAACACCCTGAGGTAATTTTGACTGCAAAGCATTTCCAGCCAGCTTGATTTGGAAAAGGATCCCCTTTTCCCATCATTAGGCCTTACCGCCTATTCTCCAGCATGGACCTACTAAAAAAACGAACCAATGCTAGAATCTAAACAGTGGTTGAAATTAACTGATGTCAAAGATAATGATGTACTAAATGTGTCTTATCAATTATAAAAGTTGTCAGATACGTATAGGCCTACTGAAGGTAGCTTTCATGTCGGATGATATAGCTATACTAAGCTGGCTATAGAATGTAGGCCTACACATGCAAACTGAACGACTTCAATAATCTTACATAGTCGCTACCGGGGTAATTTTAAGACAATTAAAACGCCGGCAACAGTCATTTGAAAAAATATTTGACACTAGTACAACTTTGACGGTGACAGAAAGAATAGGTCTGACTGACGGTCTCTCTCTCTCTCCCCCCCCCCCCCCTTACAGTAAAAATGGGGTGCTAACAACAGAGCTAGTATGCCGCAAAGTTGCAAGTGAGCTATTTTAAAACATGATGAACTTACATTAGCTTGTGTATCCGTTTTCAGAAATTAGTAGAAAAAGGGGTGTGCGCTGATGTTCAAATATACCTTGACCCGAACGACAGAGTGATACATGGAGCTGTTTTCAACATGCTTTGGGGATTATTGTACCACGTGCTATCAGCGTAAAATATAAAAGCACCGGCCTTACGTGTTTCAAGCTATTTTTGCGTTCATCTGGATCACCAAACCATTTCAGGTTGAATGTAAACCGTTTGCCTTGATTGAAGAGCGGATTTCTAAAACAGCAAAGAGCCAAGCAAAATTATCCTTATATGTCGATATGTAATAGAGATTTTTTCTCTACTCTTCAAAATTTCAAGCAACTAGTTGCATAATGTAAGCTTTTTTGTTTTTGTGTCATAAAACATAAATTCCGTCCCTTTTTACACAGTAATCGTTTTCGGCCCCTCCGTGTGTTCATTGCGAAAAGGGAGCTGCTTCGCGCATCAAATTCCAAACCTGATTGAATCGGACGGTCTCTCTTAAAGTAGGAAGATATCAGAAAATCCTTAGAGTATGAAATCTCAAAATGATTAGATGTTTTTGATGAGTCGCAAATACTTGGATGTTATTTTATCGGAGGTCTTAATTGGAATCCACAAAAAGGATATTTATCGTTTAAGATAGGGCCTATACATGGGTTTTGATTAATAAGTCTGGATTTCAAGCGAAGTAATCTTTTTTAACCATGCAATATGGAATTGGACAACACTAGCTCCAATTGAAGCAGTTGCCCTACGTTTATTTTTCGTGTAGTTTAAACTAAATGCAAGCAAAAGATCCGCAACAGTGTTCATAGCTTAGAAAGTCTTGAAATGCACGTGCGAACTGTTGTATATATGTACGCACAGGGCGTGTTCCCTCTACACTGGTCACACCTGTCACACCGGCAGGTGTCCTACCGCGTGACGATACCTAGGTTTTAAAGATTTCTAGTAGACTGTCATCACACGTTGACGAAAAGCGTGCTCTGTGCAGAGGAGAATGCAGAATGCAGAATCCAGAAACCCCGACTGGACGTCGTACATCGTAAAAGGTCAATATTTTTCTTAGCCTTTTCTAAAGAGGTCGTAAACATGTTGCATGGGAGACTTTTTTCTTTCTCTCTTTTTTTCCCCGTTTCGTTGCACTTCAGCTATTTAGCTTTGGTTAAACACCCTTGTCTCTCAAGATTACCAACACTCGAGTTAATCTTAATAAATGGATCGATGCAGTGTATGTGATTTTACCATAGAAAGGAATGCAATCAACGGGAGAGATTATCTTCATAAATTAGGTTGTCATTTGTCTGAAAATTGCGACCAATAAGTTCCCACGACTTGGAACCATCTTTCATTATTTCCGTTTGCCGGCCTTCCCCTGGATGGAAGAATCAAAGGCAACTAGTGACCGCCCACAATGAACATGAGCGTTTGTTTTTAGGTTCAGCGCTCTGACAGGGCATGGTATGTTGCTAGCATGGTGAATGAAAGTGCAACATACTAAGCCAAAAGTGTTTTTATATATCAATTCCGATACTTTGTAAGAAACGCGTCCATCACTGAGGCCCTGGCCGTCGTAAACTAGTTGTATTTACTGCGCAAGCGCTGAACTGGTTATGAGGTGTATCATAGACCGCACATATTTACTTCAGAGGGCATATGTTTTTATAGCCATCAGTCAAAAACTCTACATAGTTTATATCCACAAGGGAGCAAAGAACAGCAATACGCTGGAGGTGAAGCGGAATGGCAAAGAACATTTTAGTTCTCTCTGTTGTGCTAACATTTGCCTCAAACGAAGCCGTAGAGCGCATCGTTCATCAGTGCAGCTTTCATGATGGACAGTGCATGTATAAAATTCATTTAGCAAGAGGACAAGACTGTCCCATAGACTCCCCGTCAAATTACGCTATACCGCAACACGATGTTGCGTTCAGTGAGATCCCATCGCTGGAAGAAAAATATGAGCAAAAGTTAAGGAAACTGGAGAAGAGAGTCAACGAAATTTTCATAAGTGATTTGAACGAAGACAGCTTGATTCCAAATGAAAAAGACTATGAAATAAATAACAGGATTGATAATATTTTCGACCCAGAACCTGCTAGACCAGAAACGACGCTTCTTAATGATTTGTATGGAGAATTTTCTAGCCTGAGAGACGAGCTAAATACAACAAAATGGCTATTGAAACAAAAATCGTTGCTTTTGCTTAGCACTAAATCGAAATTAAACAAAACGCAGCACCAGTTAACGGAAACAAATGGTAAACTACGCCGCACGGAGAAAAAGCTAGACCAAACACAACGAGAAAATACAGTCTTACGAAATAAACTCCAAGATCAAGAGAAAATACTTAACACTACACTAAGCAAATGGGATGCAATGTTGAGGCAATTAAAGGATCTTGAAAGCAGGCTTAATGAGACTCTAAAACAAAATGAATACCTACAAGAGAGGCTGCTCTACTATCAACGTATGTTGAACGAAACAGAGAGGCAGTTACGCTATGCTTTGATCAAATATCATCAACTGAACCTACAACACCACGCCCTGGAGAGAAAGAATCAAAAATCGGAAATGATACTTGCAGATTGTATGCAAAGTAAGTAAAAACCAAGAGAAGCAAATTACTTAATAATAGAACCAAACATAAGTACCAATTCGAACTAATTCGAGTGAGAATATATTGTGAAAATTGTACTGAAACTGGTAACGATAATAAACAATATCGTCAGATTAGTTCCAGAGATGCAAATTATGAAAAAAACCCAGATTGTCAGAATTTTGTTTGAATTAAGTTGAGGACTAGTATTGCTGGTAATAACTTGTCTGCTGCTTGTGGCCATGGGTAAAAGTGCTGCCGGGCTGTGCAGGTGGGAAGTTGTAGTTGGTGGTACTGTATAAGTGAATTTGGTGCCGTAGGGTTGTAGAAGTGAATAGTGATGCCAGTGGGCTATGTGTGTGGATGGTGATACTGGAGCTGGTGGCTGCTAGTTGATATTGGTGATATTAGATGTTGTAAATAGACGGTGTTAGAGAATAGAAAGCGGTAGACCCCAGGCTCGTTGCTACTAGTCATGACCAGTGGTTAACGGTACTGGTGGCACTAGGACAGCAAGCCTTCTAGGCCCAGTTTCATCAACACTGAATAGCGCTATCCTCTAGATAACATTATCTATTAGATGAAATCGTTATTCCCATGGAATTTGTCCTGTGGGTAAAGTAATGTTTTCTGAACACCAAATACTTATTTTTGTCTGTAATATTTCTATCCGGTGGTGAAAAACGGCTGCTATCCTCAGGATAACTGCCTAGAGGATAACAGTTTTATCTTTCCAGTGGGTAACATTACCGGTGGCACAGTGACTGCTATCCTTCTAGTGGGTAACGTTCTACTGGTCACGGGTCCTGTTTGTAGATAAATGTATCTGCTTGTTGCAACTGTTAATGTATATTGGCATCCCTGAGTGGTACTGGTACGTGTAGTGGATAGGGGTATTTATGATACACGTGAACACTGTTCTCATTAAAACAAGCGTTTAATATCAATGGTAGAGTTAACCTAGTAATGATAAGTTATTAAGAGTGTATAATTGCGCATCACAGATAGGACTGACGTGAATCAAAAACCAGAGAAATTAGCTCGTAAACTGACGTCTGATATTTATCTTGCTGGGAAACGTAAAACCCAATGCGCCAACAACACGTTAAATGCTGTAGCCGAGTTCCACGTAAACTTTGCACTTCCAAGGTATTGAATATATATCATCAAAAGCACATTCATTTTCTAAAACTGAAATCAAAAACAATAACCCACTTGGAAAAATAGTGTAACGTCCCACGGTAATACCGTCATTTGTGTCATTTCCATCAAAGAAAGAAACGCGAAAAAGTCCCCTTTCACCCTTGCATGTGAATGTACAATCTAATACAGACAACTCCATACATTCAGAAATACGATAATCCTAAGTAACATGCGCAATTCCTCAAATCAAAGAGAACCTCCTCGTAGATTTGGTAATGATCACACTTGTTTCCAATCCGAACATTTGTTTTACATTTAATATTTCGATTGTTTTCCACAGAAGCCAAAGCGAAAAAAATTAAAGAAGTAGACGACTGAAGTGCTGCATTCTTTATACATCTTGCAATATTTGGCCTCGCCGCACGTGTCGTTTCGTATACAAAAAGTAATTGCCAGTAATACGCCACATGAGTGAAGTTTCTTTAGTTAATTGTCTTGTGGAAATAAATAGCTTTGTCGGTTTCCAGTCCACTCGGTGGCAATGGTCAACCTTTGCAGGAGTTCTGAAAGTGCTGCCCCGACGAAGATAAATGAGTTTTTCAATTCAAATTCGTACTTCGCTTAGGCAGTTTTATGGCCCACGTAAAAGCCTTGCCGCATGGAGAAACCACTTTCTGTGTTGTTGTACTTGCAAATATTTTCCTAACCTCTTGGACCTAAACTGTTTCTTGCAGATGCAGTGTTGTCATCTAATAACTTTTTATTAGTCAAAACCTGAACTAGAATAATGCATTAGGGGAACATCTGTGTTACTATGCCATCTAACGGACACTTATCAAACACTCCATCAGGTTTAAAGCTTGTAAAGTAAACTTTGAAGCAACACTTGAATTTCCTGTTCAAAAATAGCGTTTTAAATTTTAGAAGAATCTTCCTTTCTTTTTGCTAAAATATGAAATAGCCACAACTAGGAATTATTAGTTCAAACTATAACACTCTTGATTGCAAAAGCGGCGTTTAGTTAGGTTTGCAGATGTTACCATTTACATAATCTGTGACATGAAAAGCGTTTCTGCATGTTGCTGTGTCCTGCATGTGTTTATGCCGCATGCACCATTTGCTCTGCTTTGAGTCGGAGTCACGAAAAAGCTATATATTGCAATGGTTGGTTAGTTGTATTCCATCTTCATATGCTATATAGCCGATTGGATTTCATTGAAGTTTTTTTATTGTTTTAATGAGTAAGAACACAAAGTTACACAATAAGGCCCCCGTTTTCGTAGAAAATCTCATTTGTTCTGCTCGTCTAGGGTTTACTCCGAAGAGAAGGACGGGTAAGCACAGGGTCGTGGTCAGCGTAAGAGATATCGTATTTATCAAACACAAATAAAAGGGGTGGTGAAATAATGATTAATATTGCTTCTTTATTTTTATGGTTCACCAAAAGGTAGTCGGGTGAAGTAATTCAGTGTCAAACCTTTAACTTAAGATTTTAAAATCTTCTGGCATATATAGAACTGGCTTTTGATCTCAAGTGGGGAAGTTCTGACCTTAAACCTTGGCGAAAATTGAAAAAGAGAGCAAACTAGCACGGATTTATATGAGGCAATGCAAATACCGTATTGTGGAGTCCAATCTCACTATGAAATCATTACATCAAACTCTAATCAAAACACCTGTTCTTGAAATAACTCGACGTAATTTTTTCCCGGACCTCCCTTCTATTAACCTCTACAAGTTATGCTTTCTAGAAAACAGCCAATTATCTGCCGAAAGCACTTTTAAGAAAAACAACACGCTGACAATTTGTGACTGGAATTCAAGCTTGATGATTTGCTGGAGCACATTTGTATTGACCTATTCCGCCCAAATGATGATATTTACGTGTGTTGTGTATTTTTTTCTGTGCGACAGGCAAGCACGAGTCGATCGTGCAACAGATAAAGTAAACACCTGTGCATAAAGAAGAACAAACAATAGTTAACATAGTTTATTCGATTTCGACGAAACTTAAAGTGACAAATGGTGGAATTTCAGACAAGTAAAATGTTTCAGCAAATTTTCCTATGGTTTCCCAAGTGCTTATTAACCACAACCCTCCGACATGCAAGCCCGTGAATTATTTTGTATATGGATACGAATACTAGACCCCTTCTTTTAAGCCCCAGCTACACTGGAGTTGCGACCGCTTCGAAAACGAATTTTGGTCCTTGTTCACAAATATGTGACAAAATAAAACCCCATTTATTGTTTTTTTAGCGTAGACATCGCAGTTTTTCTTTCATGTACTTAGTTTTCTCAAATTTTAAATAATAAGGGCAAATTTATATTGTTTGACTTTAAAGCGTAAAACTGAAAAGTTGTAATACGTATTGTCTACCACCTGCCTTGTAATAGTGCTTTTTTTTTTTTTTTTTTTTTTTTGAGTGGGGGAGGGGGAATACATCTGGCTGATGTTAATTATAAGTTAAAGATTTTGGTTTTGAAATGGGTAGTACTTGTTTTCAATCAAGAGGTGCAGTTAAGGTGCCGTTTCGACACCTGATAAGTGGTTATTGGAATTTCATATATATTAGCAAAAATGAATTCTATCGAGGTGCCCAAGATGATAAAAAGACAATCTATAATATCGATGCCTTCCAATATTGGAAATATCGTCTTGGATTGTCGCCTAACAAGCAGGTTGTTACAGAGCGACTCTTTTCTCTTTGTTATGTCCTTGCAAAGGTAACGCTGATCTTACATTTTCAAACTTACATGTAAAGGCACACGTATCGTGTAATACAGTGCAACAATATCTGTAAATAATATGTTCGCTCGTGGAGGTTAAAACAGAAATATTTATAGAATTTACTCAGCACCTGCTTATTGGCGACTGGACTAATTTTTTTCAACAGTTTTAAGTCGCTCGGCAGTGTGGTCTCAACAAACAATAAATAATCAAGGTCCACACAATGGACAATTCTAGGTTACGCGTGAGTGATTTCTCAAGAGCTGCCAGTAAAAACGTTTAGGAAACCTTTAGTATTGGGACACAAATCATTTCATAAAGTTGGCTGATGGATGAAAACAAAGAGATACATCACTTTAACCCCTAAAACATGCGAATTTTACCAATTTTGTGGTTTTCTATTTGTGATTGTTTAACTTGTTACCTGGAAACAAAATCGGAAAACTATCGATCAAATTTTTAATCAAATTTTATACGGTCAACAAATGTGTCTGACACATGGACTCCTGTGATAAGTTATCGTTTTCTGTGTATATCTACGTGTATATCTAATAGTAGCAATGTTTTGGCATTTCAAATGTGACCTTAGCGGACCACAACATAATATAATCATGTGGTAGATTTGGTTAGAGCACAATGATTGGGTCAGGTTGGCAGGCTGCCAAATTTTCACAGTAAATTTTGTTGATTTTACTGTTAGCACAATGTTGCTTACAAACAATCAAATCTTCAGAGCAGATGTCCAAAAGAAATCCCGAATGGGTGGCCACAACTAAAAAAATTAGTTCCGTCTTTTTATGTCCAGTAATAGACCTTGGTCCCAACCAACCCAAACCGGCATTCTTATCTGTCAAAAAATGAAATGCGTGTTGCTATATTTACAAGCAAAAAATTAGGACAGTTTTTAAAAGCATAAAGTCATGTTAGTGTTGAAAGTGATTTGAATAGACCGTAATTTAGTTTATTAGATATTCACTATTCCTGTTGCGGCCTCCACGCGAAACGTTTGTTTTTGACATTTAAAAAAGTTAAAATTTGGTTTAAAAAACCACAAAATTGAAAAAAAAATTATAGCAACAGACAGAATTGTAGGAGAAACGTTTGAATGGAAATATCCATCATCGCAAAATGTTTCACCTCTGTCAGCAAAAAAGCATTTTATAAAAGAATGAACTAAAGGAGGTCTTTCAAATTTCTTATTAGCTAAACAATATAATTATATGAAAAAAAAAACGTATAGATTTGACATTCGCGCTGCCTACCAAAATGGAAACCGTCAGATGTGTACCGTGCTCAGTTATGAGTTTGATAAAATTGAACGGTGGCGGTACACTTTCCGATTGGGATATAATATAAAAAGAAATACATCATCCGTATCTTTCACACACACTGATCTATCGGATAAGCCTAGAACATAAATTATCGCAACTGCCAAAATGTCAGCAGAGGGAGGAGTATATTATACCGAATGCATCACTTGATCAAGAAGCGCAGGATCTCCAGATTCAGACCTTTCTACTGTTGTCCTCGTACCACCCCAGATCCCCGAGAAAAGCAGTTACAATATCTTATCTTAAATGGTGTAATTATTGCAATAGTGTCTGCAGTTTACAGCTGCTGTCAATGATTTTAGCATGTATCATTTTCAGTTTTCAGCCAGCCCTTTTCTTGTTAGAATAAACCCTTCTCTTGTTTGCTGGATAACAGTTATGTTTCTATATCTTTCTCCAATCTTTAAAACCCTGAAGCTCACTGCTTTCGCATAAACCGGGACCCAGATTTACAAAAGAACATAAGTCAACAGTTGATTTCAACTTGAAGAACGAAAAGTTTGCCCCACTTCAGTCCTGGATAAATGTATAGTGTATTCCTCTAAAGCAGAGAAACTGTCGGTCTGAAAACATTAGCCATTGCTTACCCTTTCTAAAACATACCCCGGCTCCTAATTCAATTGGACGGCTACCGATTAATCTTGGGTCAAAGTAGACAAAAATTTTGTCTTAAAGTTAAACCAAACTTTCACTTAAGTTCTTTTGTGAAACTGAATCCGAGCTAATGGGCCACATTCAGTGGGGCACTGTTTTCCCATGGACAGCGATTGCTGGCCACCTCTCCCTGACTTGTTCACAGTTGATGAGCAGCACACGTCCACTCCTTGATATATGTAATCAGTCATTTTTTGCAATCGTGATGATTTATATCATTGTGATTGGATCACATATGCACCCGAAAGACACAGGGCGTTTCCTCTGAATTAGTGGGAACTGGATCAAACCAAGGCTAATTGGGGATGCATCAGTGAAAGAGCCGTCTTGGGGACGACCTCTTTAAATGCTATCTGCTCGTCATCTCTATGTTGCTGAGAATGCACCTTAACCTGGATGACCTGCAACAGTGTTTCACGCGAAGATATTTCCTCATTTAAAGTAATTTTACGAGCACCCACCGTAGGATCGGTGAACAGGTTCATTTTTTAACATTTCTTACTCTTGACAGCAGTAACACCTAGTTTGATTTACGCGAACGGAAATTGCTAAAATTGCAAATACCTGTAGAAAAGAACACCGTCTGGAACTTACAAGCGTTCCTTCATTCGACCGTCACATATAGACCTTTAATTCCCTTAATTATTTACCTCTGAATATTTATTTTCGGGTACTTATAATTTTGTTGCCGGATCTATAAAAGATAAGGTATGTGCATGCAGTCTGGAGGACGTTTCCCTTTATGGAGATTCTATGAACTCTGCGAACCCAATCGACTTTGCCAATGGTGCAGAGAATTCCCTGAGCATACAATTGGTTTGAAGCGACGCCAATTCGTCACATTTCAGTCGTTTCTGTCAATTCCATAGTACATAATATATGGTTTCCGGAAAAGACATCGCCGCGGCTCAACAGCTCCGGATCACATGTAATCAAAATAGTAATATTTAGCCTAAACGGTTGCACCTTGGCATATTTGTGTATACCGCATTCCCTTAAGTTCTAAACGGCAATCAAAATTAGTGTGAATCTTAGGCCACGTATTTAACCATGTTAATTTGATTAACTTAACGTTGAATGAAGTTCATATGTTAAAAAAGAGTTTAACATAGGTTTCTGACCTGACGAGGACAAGTAGCTTCACCTTGAAAATAGAAAATAGAAAATCCTGCTTTGTACTTGGAGAAAAACTGACTTCGTATGAAATAGTCAATAAATACATCACTGCTGCCCTCATCTGCTGAATGGCATACCGATAATGAAAGATTGGTTCATTATTGTGTTATAGGTCTAATATTTCATTGATAAAGCGTGTGTATGGGCGATATCGTAAATATCGTGAACATGTGTTACCAACATAAGGTTCTTGTGGAATCGTCTGGAAACGTGTAGCGCAATTTGTTATCGCTTATACTAAGTAAAAAGACGGGATAAAGGGGGCATTGACAGACCTATTTTAGCGCGTAATATTTTTAAAGTTAAAATTAAACAAAGTTCTCTGCGTGTCAACCAAAACAGAAACGAACTCTATAGTTTAGAAACATTTAAGTAAATGTTGTCGTAGAATGGCCCAATGGAAACAAACTGTCACAACCTCCGACTCAACATATTCCGAAGACTAAATAAGTTGAAATGTCAGGCGATCAAGCACTCACTTCAGCGCACGTTTGTAACTCAACTAGAACCTTTAAATTTTGGTTAAATTACGAGATTTGTCGTCACTGTCGTAATTCATTTTAAGGGAGCAATCGCAAAGCACTCTAAAGGAGGAAAGACAACCAAGAACTGGGTGAATGAAATTTCAGTATCAGAATCCTATTCATGTTGTCAGTTGCTTTCAAAACAAACAGTTGAGCATTTTAAAGAAACGTTTTCATGCTAGATCTTTGTCAATTAGTTTTGATGCCAGACGTTTTCACATGTGACTGATCGCTTGTTTTTCATGCTTTTGCCTTGGCAAGTCAACTGTCTCATTCGTCAGGTTGCCAATGAACATCAGACATTCGCATTCTGATTTACAATGATAAATTACGAGGCTATTTTATGTGTTTGCCATTGGGTTGTTCAGAAAAAAATTTGAATAGAAGGAAGATTTATGAAATGAAATAAAAAAATACAAATATATCCTTTATAACTAACAGTCAAAATAGCAAGTTATGATATCATTCCCTAGGATGTTAGCCATGTGCAATGAAATAACAATTGAGGATTTGAATTACAATTTAATAGACTTTGATAAGTGCTCTTCGTGCGTATCAACCTAATTTAACAGTCTGCTTGAAAATTCATGTTATAATTTTTGTGCATGTGAAGGCCCAGTGTGAATCGGGTCTGTCTGCGTCGGTCTTCTTAACGACATAGAATACGATTAACCACCGAATTTCTGACATTGAGCAGGTGCTGGGTAGCTTAAATACGGATATGCAGTCTTATTACAAAGAATAACGAATAAAGTACTTTCAACATCTTTCACGAAAAAAAGATATTATAAAATGATAATTGGTATATCCATGCGAGTTCTTTGAACAAATACAATTCAAGTAGTATTTATGCCGGTTCTCGTTTATCAAAGATTTCAAATTTTAAACTAAACCTTAACCTTTACTTTTTCATATTTATAGGTAAGTCAAATCAATTTTGCGGATTCGAAGACGAGTCCATATGTGGATTCACCAACGAAAACTCGGCTGAAGTGACTCTAAACTGGACACGTCATGCAGGCCCGTCTCCCTCCTCCAATACTGGACCGGACCTTGACCACACATGCCAGAATAACAGAGGTAATTACCACTGGTCTTTTTCTAAATTTTATTATGATTATTTTTTTCTTGATTATTTATCTACTGGAAATCTAGCTTGGTGCAATGGGTCAGCCCGTGACCATTAGTGTCGGTACCATGAGGGTAATTACGTCTGGGATTTATCTTATTTCTTTGTTATTATTTATCAGTTTTCTAGCAAAACACAGTTAAATAGGCTGGACAGGTCCAGGACCTCTCATATTAGTTTCGGAAAAGCTATTATCGCTCACATAATTGACCCAGTGTAAACATCTAAATAGCCAGAGACTGAAATGTACAGAAACCCAAATTGAAATCCCGTCTCATCTTGGGCTGAAACAAATAATCCAGAGATAACATAATTGCTGGCATTGTGGGTATCATGTTTGTTATCATAACTTTGGTGAACGAGATGCTTTTCCCACCTGTTTTGTTCAAAAGCAGATTGAAGACTGAAATGGCCACGACTCACTGGGAAACCAATTGGAATTATTCATCTATACAGCAGTGGCTAACCACAGAAGAACTTCACGGGCAGGAAGTTTACAACGGTACTATTTGCAAAATAAATGCGTTTTCTGAAACCACCAGACGTCATTAAATATATATGTAGCAAAATCCAGAAATGCACAATTAGTTTACATCTGCTGTTTATTTAAAAAAAGGATTTGTTTCCTTGACCACCAGACATAATAAAGCACATGAAGCTATGCAAAGGACTACACAGTAGGTCTACTCCGCGTGTAGTTTCGTACAACTTGCAACTATTCAAGCTGTAAAGTTGTAGTAACTATATCCAGTTGTGCCAACATAAAAACAGACTGGCTCTTGAGATGTTTAAATTTACAGAGCAAAGAAATTGTAAAGTATTCAAGTTGCAAAATGCAACACGGTGTTGTTTATGTGAAAATAAAACACAAACACGAGCTTTTGATATCGTGTATATTTACATCATTACTTGTAATGCAAGTGTTCTCCATCATATAATCATATATCTAATAACAAATCTTTTGTGGACAATATTATGAAATCCAACGTTTATTTTGTCTACTTACATGTAAAAGGGGGTTTAGGGAATAAGCAGTGGTTACATTTAGTGTGTAAGGTAATATATGCTTTCACAATCAACAACTAACCAAGTTTCCGATATGCAGCAGTCTTACGAAAAAAGATGTTCTGTTTACCTTTACTTTCATATATTACAGTTCGAAAGCTTAAGTTATGGTCAAAATTTTCTGCTGTTGAAGTGATCAAATGAAGACATTTTCAAACCTTTCAACTGATACCGTTTCAGGAGTTACATACGAAATGAAGGCCTACATTTGGCAAGATATTTTTTCATTTCTTTAATGTGGTACTTAACTTAATATTAGTTTAATTAAAATAAATACTTTTAGTGCAAAAAGTCCCTGCATTATTCACCACCCAACCCTCCTAATTATTGTACCACCAGCGTAGGCGCTGGCGGCCCACAGGGTTTTAGTCCCGACCCGTTTCATCCGCTTCTCCTCCTAGACTACAAGAGCCTGCGTGCCCATCTCTTGGATTAAGGTCACATAATATAATCTCAACTCGATCCACGTAAAATTTGGGCTTTGTCGGTGCATGGTAGGGGCGGATCCAGGATTATTTGAAGGGGGGGGGGGGGGGGGGGGGGGGGGGGCCTGGTAAAGGGCCCCGAAATATTTTGGTATTTTAGAGGACGAACGGTGTCATTTGGTACTGTATACAAGTATGATTTAGCTAGTCAGAATTCTAATTTCAAGAGGGGACCATTGGTGTTTTTTTTCTTCAGAAATCCGCCACTGCATGGGTCTAGGTATGGCACTCGTCGCAATGCACCCTTGTCCAAAATTTGCAAAATTAAATGCTAAATATCTCCCAAACCGAAGGAAATATTTCTATAGACGGCCAACTGAAAGTCATATGTGGAGATTCCAAATATGCCCTCGGATTTGGCCTTTGACCTTTACTTCAAGGTCAAACAAGCAAAAAAAAATATATATATATATATATATATATATATATATATATATATATATATATATATATTTGTGCCGATTTTCAGAAACAACATACTAATATGAAATACTATATACAAACTAATATTATGGGCAGGTGTTACCCTTTGGGTCATCTTTCATCTTTGTGACTTTGGAGTCAATCGGTGCATTTTCACGGGAAAAGCAGCCATTAAATGTCGAAATTGAAAACTCTCTAATTCTGGAACAGTAAATGCTAGAGACCTCTTTTTTTCATTTTACAGAGCTTGTCAAGCGCAACACTGGAAGTGGTGTCTGGTTTTTTTGTTTACCATACGGTTTACAAGTTGCGCTATATCAAAGAGTACAACGTCGCAATATTCAGTGGTGTAAATAAAATGTAAAATAACTCCAAAATTAGCAGAGATATACGCCCATACTTACTATTGAACCTGAATAAGAAGTCATATACTGGCAATCTAAGTGTGACCTTGAAATTGGCCTTTGGCCTACTTTTCACCATGAACTGAACTTTGCAACTTTTCTGTCCCTTATATCTCCAAAACTGGCAGATATACACTCATAGTTACTTTTGAACTTGACTAGGAAGTCATATACTGGCAATCTAACAGTGACCTTGAAATTGACCTTTGACCCACCATGAACTGAACTTCACAATGAACAATGAATTTGACCTTTGACCCACCATGAACTGAACTTCACAAATTTGGATTTGACATTTTACTTTTTCCCATGATTTTGTTATAAATTGTAATTTTCAACAAAAAAATGAGAACTGTTGTTTACTGCATTTGTAGAGCTTGTTTTTGTTTTCCGCCGAATGCGCTTGCTCCACCTGGTGGTACAATACCTGGAGGCGGTATCACCTCTCTGATCCTTTAGTTTTGTTAAGGGGATATATGCCCCTTATTACAATGTTCCAGAAAACAAAAGCATTATTTCGCCTTTTTTCCTGCTGAAAGTAAGCTTTTCAAGTAAATTTCCTGGAAGAGGATTGCAGTACTCTTTCTTGTGATTGAACTGGCGTATTTGTTTGACAAAAATGCTGCTGTCACGTCATCAGCCTGAATCAGCAAACTCGCGCCGATGCATTTTAGTGCGACATTATTATCTCATAACACGAAGAAATGTTCATTTCGGCATTATCTAAGTGGATAAGGAAAAATCCGAACCCTGTTGAGACCAACATTTGGTTCCTGATTGACTTAGAATCGTGGCATAATATAACCTTGACATGTACTAATTTACCTCAAGTCGGCATGCAGGCAATGGACATAAGTTCAGATTGTTGCAAGCCCTGCCAATTAAAAAACATGAAGTGTTTTGCTCTGATACTAACAAAGCTCAAAGCACATGCCATGTTTACGCCATTGGCTGTAGCGGTGCTTTAGACCTCATTTATGTTATACGGTTCACCATTTTATGAGATATTGCTACTCGCTTTTGCCATTCATTCTTCATGTTAAAAATAGCATTCGCTATTTAATGGTCGAAAACCTTAACACTACTTCAGTAAGACTAACGATAGTTCCACATGCAAAATAATCACAAAGACTGGACGCAAGTGCAACCGTTTTTTTTTTTTTTTTTTTTTTTTCTTTTTTTTTTTTTTTTTTTTGCAGTGACTGTCCTAAGAGTAAGGGATACTGTACAGATTTATTAGATTTTGCGCTTCGCTGAAATAAATGATTAGTTCCATACAAAATGCCTGTATTTTTAGTCTGAAGTTAACTGAAAACTGCCCCAAAGAACTTCATATCAAAGGAGAAAACTAGTTAAAAACCACAGCATCAATAATGCAACTCCGATGCTTCCGAGATGAAAAAAAGGACGTGCCTGAACTTATTATTTGCAATTGCATCTCTAATAATTATTAGAATTAAATGCTGAAATGGCAATCTAGCTTGATCTCAATCCAGATGTAATTCAATGATGATTTCAAGGCCTGTCTTGAAAATGCGAGGCGAAAGAGCTGTAGGAAGCGGCTTAAAGACGTCACCCATCTGTTGCCTCAGAGTTTAAGTGAAAGTGAACCTCAAAAAAGTTAAATACTTGTCGTTAAAAGCAAAACTTTTATTAAGAATTAACTGTAGCCGGCACTCACCCCGGCGGGAAGGCTTCAAATGTTTAAAATTATTTAAATATTTAATATTTTAAAATATGCTTAAAAGCAATAACAACGCCCCCATCCCTAACATAACGTATTAATGTTCCAGGTCATTACATGTACGTGGAGGCCAGTGGTAGAGTGAAAGGTGACAAAGCTCGCATGACATCAACAAAGTATTTTGCCAACGACCACCAATGTGTGCAGTTCCACTACCACATGTATGGCAGAGACATGGGCACCCTTAACGTATACACAAAGGTATGCTTCTGCAAGTGGGGGATGGACTCAAGGGAGGGGACAATGTAAAAAAAGGTGCGGGTTGTAAAAGTGAGTAGGGGGTGGGATTGGATGGTCAACCTTCTGTCAACCTCCTTCTGTTTTAAAGGAGCATTACGTTCAAAGTTGAGTACTTGTATAAGCAGGTGCACCTGTTCTCTTGTCCTAACAAATAATGCAAGCAAATTGGTACTTAACATCAAGCAGCTCAATTATTATAGGAAGAGTAGCTTTTAAATAAGAGGGCATTCACAACAGATGGTCCTCGGACCTACTGATCCGCGGATCAAATATGGCGGATCCTATATGAAAGCAGAGCTGACTAATCCGCTGATGGTATCCCCGCCTCCACAGGCGCCGTCCCTGCAAGGGTTAAGTAACTAAACCTCGGAGCCGTGATTTAAGGGGTCTAGGATATTAACGAAAAAGTCCAAAACGAATGCAGCTAATTAAATTTCCTATTAACTAAAGGATATGGTCTAGCAAGCAAAACAATTTTCCAAAGTTTGTAGTCACAGTGTAACACGAGTGACGTAATATCAGCGTTTTGGGGCTAAAATTGTCATTTTTTTCATCAAGATTTTCTCTTAAACAAAAAGCCCTATTAATACGATTGAAATAGCTATCTAAAGGTTAGCACAAAAACCAGTAAACTCTGACAGGATTTTCTCTTATTATTTTTACTTTTGATTTTATTTTGATAAAACGTGAATTTTACGAAATATATATGGACCTTCCACTTTCAGTATTAATAACTTCAAAAATAAAAGGTCAATCAAAAATCCAAGACGCAGTCGACTAGATATTATACTGAAACACAGACACATCAAATTTCATGTCAATCTGACAGTTAAAGAATGAGATATGGGGATTGAAGTTTAGACTATGTTATCAATCTTCAAAGGTGAGAAATCGCTCATAAACCATTTGGCTCAGGTAATTGGGCTAATTTAGCAAATTAATTGCACCTCCACCTTAGCTGTTATCATCTTATTGATCGGGAAGGTTTATTCACCATTACGTGTTAAAATTGGGTTGTTTGTTTCTATCTAGATGCCAGAAAATCTTACTTTTGTACGCAAACATATTCGCACCACGAAAGCCGCTCTTCCCTGAGAAATGATTGACAGCTGAGTAGGCCTACCTACTCTCGTTTCACTGACGTAATTCATCATAATTGTGCCTGACGCAGTAGGAGTCTGTGCACTGTCGAGGAAGTGTCTAAAGAAGCGCTAACAAACAAAAAGCAAATTACTTGAGGTGCAAGCAGAGGACAATGCCTCCCGTCGTCCGTGGACGCCGCTCTACACACCAAGACGCCCCCCATAGTAACGGTGCTTAACAACGGAGGCGGAGCCTAAAGGCTGCCACGCTTACCAGTCAGGACAGGTAGAAAAACTCGTCCAAATGTACATTTTTAGTCCGTGTTGCAAAAATATAATTTAATTCAGTATTAGATCCAATATTGATTATTTCTAACATATAAAAAAACAAAAATCGAGTTTTAGACGTATTTGTAATATCCTTGACGCCTTAATCCGTTTAATGGCGCGTGTGGCGGCGGAGAGACCACCAACGGATAAGTCGGCAGTGCTTTCATGTAGGGTCCGCCATATAATTGATCCGCGGATCAGTAGATCCGAGGAACATTTGTTGTGAATGCCCTCTAACAGAGGAAATGTATCTGGTTGGTAGAGCCGATGGCACAGAAGTTTGCTTTTGAGAGTGAGAATTTTTTGTGCAATGTACTTATCTTGAAGGTCATCCGAAATAAAACATTCGTGGTGGGTTTGTTTGCTTTTGATTGTAAATTGGGCAAGTAAACAGACCTGGTCCTTTTTATTTTGAGCATTTTAAGTAATGGAAAACTTCCAAATGATTGAGCAAGGTTTGGAGGGAGGTTTTGTGGACATGTATTCATAAAAATTCCTAAACCTAGAAAAGAACGAAGAAGATTTCCGAAATACATAATCCGGGTCTGTCAGCTAAGGGAATTAATGTTGGGGTATTGATAGTGCAATAAATATGTCGTACCTGTATGAATTTACACAGAAAAGGTTTGCACGTACGTCACAAATTTGGTATAATTGATCACTTTCAGCGAAAACCCAACTTGGACTTAGAACCTCCTGTGTGGCGTGCATATGGTAACCAAGGCAACGTCTGGTCAACCGCAAGATTGTTTATTCCAAAAAGAGTAGCAAAAGAAGGGTTTCAGGTAATCTTCTTGCGTATCTGCCTCTAAGTTTGCTTCTAAATAAAACTAAATGGATATATAGAAAAATCCAATTAGTCATCGGAAGTTACAGCATGAATAATAATCCTCACTCTTATCTTTATCCTTATGAAATTCTTTCAACTCTAGAAAAAGCCATATAATAGAACAGCAAGATAAATGGATTTTCAGTAGGAAGGAAGAGGGCAGATATCGAAGCAATAGTTGCATTTAGGAGACAAAGGGCCTTAAGTTATTTTAATATTATTTCAGATTGTTTTTGAAGCTACCCTACGGAAAGGATATCGTGGAGACGTGTCCATTGATGACATAGCTATACGTGATGGACCGTGCCATCCCAACGACCTTCTGCTGAAAGGCTTGGAAGATGGGAAAGTTGACGATTGAGTAGACTTCAGTATATCAGGCTTCTGATTAGTGGTACTTCTTACTTCATAAATCATAGAATATCAAACAGACAGATAAGTCGTAAGATGATTCACAATGCTGACCTGATAGGCAAGGCACTGTTAGAATACCTCTGTAAACACTGTGATTCGTAGACATTTGAAGCTATTTCACTGCCAAAAAAAAAGGAAACATGGTAATAACCCTGACTGTCAATGCTGCTTCTGAACATTATGAATTTACATAAGCAATCATCGTTCAAGCAAAACCCACAGCAAAACTTCAAACGATCAAACGGCAACCAAATAGGTTACCATCAAAAGCCACAACCTAGCTTTCTGAAAAAAAAAAAAAAAAAAAAAAAAAAACCGATGCAGGTAAAACACGTTTTGTGCAATGTCAAAAAGTGAGAAATCGAACTGCTGGGTGGGTATCGAGACCAACTCGTGTTTATCTATGTATGTAAATAAGCTGCTAGTAATTTAACACTGGTACGGGACAACCACTGCGAACTCCGCGTAACATTTAGGGTTTGCGCATAAACAGTGAGAAAAGAGCGTTTCACTGTGTCTAAACACACTATCATCTAAAGAAATCAAATACCACTTTTTTCTGTGATTCACGCCTCAAAAGCGTCTGTTTTTTGCCAGATGACATATATGACTGGAGCGTCGACTTAGATTTGAAGCAGAAATATGTACATATTTTCCGTTTAAACAAATATATATTTTCCCCATTGCTTTTTAATGTATAGTTTTTTATAGAACTTAAATAAAATTTTCTCACAACAAAGTACATCCGCCTTGAATTCTTTACAATCCAACCACTCTACATTTGACATATCATATCCTTATGGTATTAAGCAGTGGTTCAGCAGGACAATTTTGAATAGGATAAGACAAATCTTCACATAAAGCGAAATCCGGGAACAGAGCGCTTTTCTTTCTACATGTGAAATATCCTTCATATATCTTTATGTACTGACTGATACGTTGCGGCTAATCTTACCTAATGTACTATAATGTTCATTTCAATTTCCGTAGATTGTATGTTAAACAGCCAAGCAGCAAATATCGCGACACTGGCGCTGCAACGTTTTATTCGATAATCCCCGCTACTGCATGATTTTCTTCTAAACCACCCCATTTCAGACGCCACGAGAACGAGTAAAACAAGACTGGAAGAACGAGTGATGAGGTGGTGAGACGGTCTAATCGGGTCACTCTTCAGTGTGTTTGATAAGTTGGACACGATTGATATGCAAAGACTATGATGATTGTCAATTTTCTTTTCTTTTCTCACTTGTCATCAGGGAAAATCTGTTCAAAACCTTGCAAGTAGTCGTAGTAGATGGTATATTCATTACAATATGACGCAAGTGGATTTTGACAACAAACGTTGGCACTCTTCATTAGTGATACCGGTGAGAATTATTTGCTTGTTAACAGTGTTTGCCGAAGCTGTCTCGTCTGTCGATTTTACAAGTCCGTCTGTTTTACTTACGGACTTCAAGGAGGTACGAGACACGCCTGTCAGGACGGTAGGTTCCACGACACACTTAGAGCCCGGCTCAAGCTCTTCAATGGCCCCTGTTTCTTTATCCTCAACCGAGGCGACGTCATGGGTACTGACACGTCGGCCACGCCCTATACCAAAACGTTTAAAAAACAGTGCTGGGATATTTGTTTCCGGTTCCTCTACGGCCTGTGCTACGATACCGTTGGCCGTTTCAGTGACTGTAACCAGTGGGACCCCTTGTTTCTTCATGTCTTTCAGCATTTCGCGCTTTTCTTTCATGATTTTATTTTGTTTCTTGCTCTCCCATTTTTCTCGTTGTATTCGGTTCATTTCATTTTGCTTGTCTATTGCCGCCATGGCAAACATGCGGAATTCTTTATAGTCGAGTTCCTGTAAATTAAAAAAAAATGAATACACAAATATATTATCGGTCAGTTGGTCACCGCATATTGGTGTTTTAAAACATAATCATTTTATTTCGTAAAGGTAATAGCCTAGGCAACTATCTGTTGGACCAGGGAAAATACGTTGCTATATTTCAACCCCTACCTGATCTCCCGTTACATCAAATTCTTCGAAAATTCCTTTGACTGCATCCGACCTGAAGTTGAACAGGAAGCCCAGGGTGCCCAACTCCTCAGCGGATATTGTTCCTGATCCATCCTCGTCAAGCAACTCAAACACCGTCCTTGAATGGCGAAATATAAACTGCTTTTCTTGCTTTTCCTAAAAAAACAATTGATCAAACGTCCCAAGAATCGTTACTTTAAAGATATGTCGATTGAGATGTTTGAAATATTTTGTGGGCATATGTTGTGGATATTGCCTTATACAATACACATAAAAAGATATAAAAGACTGTCGCATATATAAGCATAACTGTCAGTGTGGTGACCAAAATCGTACACATTTAGATCGGGTGCAAAGCCTTCTATCCGTTAAATTTATCATTCATTCGTTAAAAGTTTGTCTCTGTTTCAGTAAATATGTCCCAAAAAATTAGGCCTACTTTTTTAAACTAGACAAAATAGATTAGTTGGTAAGCGATCGGCGACTCTCTGTAAAAAATGGTACGTGGACAAAATTAACTTCATGTATTTTCTTTAAACATATCATGTTTAACCGCCTTAACAGCTAAATTGAAGGTCGATCATTGTCCTTAAGGGGAAAAAGAAGGAAGAAGCGCTTTTAAAAGCCACAGTGTCTATTATGATCTACTATGATGATTAAGATGGAAAAGAGGGCCATATATACCTTGATGGCAATCAAAATGCAAGACAATAAATAGAATTCATCAAAGTCAATTTCTCCAGATCCATCAACATCCAACATGTCAAATACTTTGTAGATCTTTTTCTTGTCTAGGTCTGTCACTTGCCTCATGTAGTGATAAAACTGAATATCTAGAAAGAATAACAAAAGTTAGTTATCAGTGCTCCTTTTTTTAATCAACATTAATTTTTTGTTCAGTTCTTCAGACGGCATGAATGGTTTGAATCTAAGCAGTGGGATTATTTTTTGAATAATTAGCGACAGGGATGCAAGAGACTGTTTCTACGTTTCTAGACGCTGTCCTACATGTGGACATTGAACTAAACTGTCTTGAATAGCTTGTAGATAAGCCATGGAATTGCATTAAAAAAATTAGCTATAGGCCTACAAAAAGTTGTTTCTGTAATTCCAGACGCTATACTATGTAGTTCTAGGCTGTACATTAGACTAAACATCTACCGTTTAAGCACATTTTCCCGTGAATATCGAGGAGCTTAAATATTTCCAGAATAATCTTCACATTTCTTCCAGTGAGCAGACTGTAACTTTTATCCAGATGAAGGTGCTGTAGTACATGGGATCTGACCTTCATGCTCTTTAGATGTTGTCACGCTGCCAATTCAATCGTTTACGGGAATGAACATCCCAAAAAACGCCAAATCCACACAGCGCGTCATTGTGCGCGTGGCATATTGACTTCGTTACGTTCTCAGCACGTCTCTCTCGTGTTGCGCTCGTGCCTTTTACCGCCGCCGTTGTTGAACAGAAAAAAGTGTGTGATAAGACTGGTTGTATTGCGTGCCGAGAGCTTTTCCAATAATTGGGGGAAGGTACTAAGTTGTTAAGTTCTCAATGATGTCTTCGAGTGATATAGTCTGCAAACAAATTGTTAGCCGCGCCTTTTTATATATTCTGAAAATGTGCACATACTTACTGTTTGAAGAGAAATTTCACAGCCATCAATAATTGACTGACATCCTCGTTTTCAATGAAAAGAAGTTTTTAACGTTCGTTTCTGTCTTTTTTACATCCTAGTCTACCCGATTTCATTTCACTAAGTCCCCTACAAAACTTTTACGAGTGATTTCATTTAAATACAAACTATTGAAGAAATAAATGTTCATACAGACGTGATAGCGAATTTCCTATGTTTTAAAATGCAATGTCAAGTTTTTTTTTACGAGGAAAAAAATGAGTCATATGAAACCATCGATCATAAATCTAACTTTATTTGGCTACAAAAACGGGAATTCTTTGTCTTAAACTTTTAAATCTCAGTCAACAATACTTACATCAGACCATCAAGTTCAAAGAAGGAAAATGATTATAGGGGTGCTTTCCCAGAGATTTAGATCGATCTAAAGATTAAGTTTTAGATCGACCTAACTCCCTGGGGGTTCACGCTAAATTGCAGTCAGCCGAGCGGGCACCATAGTTAATTACCCCCTTGTAGCTTTTAGTAGGCGCTTAAGCCGGCCAAGCTGACAGTAATCTAGTGAGACTCCCCACAGGGATAGATCGATCTAAAAATCTATGGAAATGGGGTGTAGGAGAGCTCTTTCACTTCTTGTTAGCTTCAAATGTCTCAAAATGATTATTCTGAAAACTTTGTATATAAACAGGATAATGGATGTAATTTCACGATTGGCAATAAAGTGTTAATCAACAATTATGGGAACTTGTCACGACACGACTGTACATATACAAAATGGTAGAGTCTACATAAGTGTGTATACAAAACAGATACATGCAACTAAAAAAACATCGAAGAGCAAAACAGTTAACATGCACATGTAAAAGCCTTTGGTTGAACTATAACATTGCACTTTTTCACTTAAAATCTCCATACAAGTATTCCTACTATTGAATCCAACAATGTACCATAAGTTATCACAAAACAGCTTTTGGAATGACTGCAAACTACAGATAAAAGCTAATTAAAATAATTGTTGGCCTCTTTGCAACCCCACATATGAAAATATTTGCACTATTTGTTTTGATATTTATTTTTTAAGATATAACATTACGTAATTTTAACTAATTAACATTATCTAATGCTATATAATAATAAACACCATTCTTTACTAGAGGGACCAATAAAATCGGCTGCTACCGGCCAAATTTGGAACACTATATCTGTGTTTGTCATTTACTTATCCTTTTGCTTGGGTTAATGAGGAGACATAAATAACTTTTCTGTATAATATTATTATACTCATAATTCAAGAAGGTTTCTCTGTGTCAAAGATTGTCTAAAAGTCACCTATAGTGTATAATAGAGATAAACACAAGAAAAGTTACTGCAACTGTCCGTAGACATTTTCATCACAGCTCTGGCATGACCACTAATTACGATGTCAAAAAATAATCTGCAATGTGTGGGCAAATTAATAATTTACAGCTGGAGTTGATAAAACATATTTTGTCTCTAACCATCTGAAATCACACAACATAGCCTATAATGCCCACAGTTACATAAGGTGGTGCAGGAAGACCATTCTCCACACTGTAAATAGGACAAGCCAGGAATTCACATGGTGTTTCTCTCCAGGCATAACGCATGCCCATAACCCACTGCCCGACACAGCCAGCAACTTTCCCATAAGACATGGTGACGGAAGTGCTGTCATGGGACACAAGGGGAACTTCATGCCACAGCGTGCTTGTCTCATTGCACTGGCTTATACTGGTGTTGTCATGGGAGCAACAAAGCTGAAATTGTCAAAACAAAAAAATATATATATATCCATACTTTTTTCACTTTTGTAAAAACAAGTTTGAAAATGCTGTGTTTGTGTTGGCATGTCATTATTTCAATTTTTCTTAAAGGTAAGAAAGCATTTAAATATTTCAATCAATAAAGCAACTATCACTGTATGCAGATATATTCTATTTGCAAGCATAGAACATCAACATATTTGACGAGCGCCTGAAATTTTGAATAGAGTATATAAATGTAAGATTACACTTCACTCAAACCCAAAGCCTGTAAATGAACCAAATTTGATTTGGGAAATAATTACTTTTTGTTGTGTTTCAAAATAGACGAAGTTGGGTAAATAGCTGTTGATACAAACTAAAGAAAAAAAAAATTAAACAACTGAAAGTAATAAGTCAATTTCTGGTTAAAAAAAAACTTTTTAGAATAGAAAACAGTTGTCAGGTGTTATAGATGAAATTTTAGATGAACTGACCTCAAATCCAGCACTACTCCTTATTTCCAGCGGCGTTTTCCCACTGTCATACTCTACCCTTAGAGTGTAGTAGCCTATATCAATGAAGTATGCTGAAGGCAAAGGGCCCTGGAACTTGATTCCACTCTTACCATATGCTACAGCAAGTCCTGACAGCACCAGTCTCTTGGCTACATCTATTTTGTCTCTAGGATGGATGCTTAAATGAACAATTTAATCTGATGCAAATAAAACTTCCTACCATTCACATATCTGTTTTACCTTTTTTTTTTACTTCTAGCCAAAATTTTGGGCTAGTAAGAGTATTCAGCTGATGTTTGTTGGAGCTTCATGTAGTACACAATGCTGTTAAAAAATTTACATGTTTACAACCTGCTTGTACCGACATGATTAAGTCCACAGTATATTGTCAAAAATATGCAAAGATTATGTAGAAGTTAACAGTCAACCGGTAGAATGAACAGCAGTGTTATTTACATCCCGAGCCAAATACTGCACCTAGGTATGAATCTAATTTAATTCAGCAATACAATAATAATAATAATATCCCCTTACTTACCCGGTCCAGGGCGATTTAGGGTCAGGTAAATCCATGGCCACTGCCATGAAGACCTTGGGCAGGTCATAATTAGGTACATAGCCCATGTCATACGTCTGATGCCAGCGTATGGTAGAAAAACCAGATGGACTGTTAGGTTTTGTTCTCCATGGAGCTAGCTGGAGAGTGAAATAATAATGAAACAGTAAAATAAAAAATATAACGAGATGGATCATGACTTAAACCATGTGTCCTCCTAGAGCCTATGCTGGTGCAATAAAACTTTACTACCTGATAAATACTATGCTCCTAAACCTCTGATGTAATAAGCTGACTTATGTTTTAATATTCTTTTGCTTTGATTTATTTCACATAATTACTGATACTATGGTGTACTTTAATTACAAAAACTAATACATCATTCAAATGATCATATTATGTTATATGACATGCACAACTGTAAATGTTACACATATATAATAATATTATAATGTTTATTTCTTATATAGCATATTCCATTTTTATACATTTCAATGCACTTTACATAAAATCTTAAGAATCAGAATTCTTAAGAACTATAGCACTAAAATACAGACCTACTTTAATCAAAAACTTTTTAAAAGATGAGTTTTTTTAGAACCTTTATAACTGCCACAAATACCTTTAGCTTTAATATAAAAAGGCAGATTGTTCCACAATTTTGGAGCATAAATAATTAAAGCCATCTCTCTCCATAAAGTCTGTCACATTGTCTCTCTATTTCACAGTGGCTTAGTGTAAAATTGTTAAAAAAAGAGGATATGTAAATACCTGGACAAAACCAAATGGAAAATTTTCATCAGTCTGTCCCATGGTGCCTTCATGCCACTTCTGTCTCCAGTCAACAATCATGGCACGGAATGTACACTTGTATTTGTTCATAGTAGGCGGTGAAGCATTGGCCTCCCCTGTAATAATCACAGCAGTACAAATGCAGTCATGTTCAAAGAAAGGATCTTAATTTACTTTTTTTTTTTTGCTGCATAGGAAAAAAAGGGTCCATTTGCCCTCCTGAGCAGTTATTTCAACATAACATGTTAGTCTTTGAAAAACAAAAAATTTCGCATAGTTTCTAGCCTAATTTGTGTGTGCACAGACCAACATCTCTTGGCCATCTATTACACAGACAGATGCAGCATTTTATTAAAAAAGGGTTTAGAAAGGATTTAAAAAAAAAATGCCAATCCAAAGGAAGCAAATTTAAAACAGATGGGACTTTATTATTATAATAAGTCAGAAAAGGGAATGGAAAATTTGATCGGTTTTTAATCCCCCTTTTTTATAGAAAGGGTGCAACTCAGAAGCAACAGGAGTGGTACCCTCTGTACTTCCCATGGACCTTTTGTAGAAACACTAACATAATGTTAACATAAGAAAGATAGCATGCATTTTGTTCTTTAACTTAATGTTATTTATCTATTTACCATTTCACAGTAATTTCCCCCCTTTTAAACATCTTGCCCTCTTTTTAATTTTTCTGTTTTTTATGTTGACAAATTTTGTGCATAATCCCTTAAAACTGCTTATTTTCTTTCACTTTTTTATTTGAGGGAGGGCAGCTGGAAATTTCTAAAGAAAAATGAGAAGTGTGTTAATAAAATCACCTTGATACCAGATAGCTCCATAAATAGTTGTGTTGAGGAAAGGATGTATCATGGCATTCCACAGGACAGTATGGTCACCTGGAGCCTCTGGAAACAGTGGGTCATTCACTTTTACTCTGTCTTGGTTGCTAAAAATTAAAGTTAATTATTTAAAAACACCAAAAATAGTAAAGATTACCAGTACACTATTAACATGCTGCAGTATATATTACTATGGTGATTCAGAAATAAATACATCAAATATAGATGTGTTCATAGGGTGATAATAAGATGCCAAGAATATTATGTGGAACCAATATTTTTCTTTCAAATAAGCCATCGTCTGCTACCAATTATTCACTGAATATCATAAAAAGTTTCCCTGGCCTTATTGCAAGATTTAATTGCAAGTTTTTCTGTGCTACGTGTATCAACATAAATGCTGTGTCTTTCTAGCATGTTTTACGACAAATATTTCTCACAAAATATAGCAATTTGGTCAAATATGATGCAATATTTCTCATCTTCTTCTGCCAATTCAAATCATTTTAGCTGTTGAATCTAACACTCATATTGAGCTGTCTAATGAATCTAATGCTCTTCAAGACTGTGCAAAAAAAAAAAAAAAAAAAAAAAATGTACAGGTGCCAGTATGTAAAATTGTTTCAGTCTGTATGTAAAGTGCCATTTCACATTTGTATTTCCTAATTTTGCCTTTGATTTTTGTAGGTATGTGAGAGCCTAGCTAATCTATTCTTAGTTTTTGATGAAAAAACTTGTTACAGACTGTAACATTTCTCATTTGTACACTTGACATAGCTTATGAGAAGGGTGATCCAGTCTCTAGTAGCAAGCCAGACATATACCTGTATAATTAAAATTTTCCATTGGAAAATGAAATTAGGTTTCTTTCAGTCAATCTGAAATTCATTCTACTAAATATAACTTAAGACTGCAAAACATCTCATCAAATTTCCTAAAAATGAATACTTTTCTAAAGTGAAACTTGGTAACAAAGTATTACCTATGACCATAACACTGCCTAAGAGCATCTGGGGATGACCAAGCTTCTACAGGGGTCCCTCCCCAAGTTGTGTCTATCAGGCCTACGGGATACTTGAGCCTGTCATATAGCATCCGCCCATACAACCAGCACACTGCTGAGAAATATTTCCATGGCTGGTGACCAACAGTGTCTGTAAAAGAAAAATGCACAGCACTATTCATATATCAAACCATTTTGTATTCAAAATTTCATTTTAAACCAGTAACAGTTATAAAGATGGTAGCTTCAAATTTACCAGTATGTAGACTACTAGATTTGGCAAATATCCATACAAAGACTGATTGGGTGAAGCAGCCACCAGCCTATATCAAATTACAGTAACGAGAGTCAAATTTATGCATTCTATACTCGCACGCGATGAAAACGCACCACATGTAAAACATGAATATATATAATACTGTTTGGTTTAGTTTCTGAATTTTGTTATATAACAAAGCTTAAGGCTTACATAGGCATACACTGATAGTGTTTACTGTTTGTAATGCAACAACAGAATGAGGCCCACGTTTCGCCCGTGCAATTGCCCATTTTTTGTATTCTCCGTGTAGCTTAGATGTGTATTGGTTCACCTTAGCCATAGGAAGATCTACTGTCTATTCATCAATAAAAGTATGCGGTAATTGAATACCAATGTCACAGTTATAGGACATTTGAATGACGCACAATTAACATCATGAAGCTATTGGTATGGCTGCCGGGGGTCTGTCACATCGTGAAATAGCGCGTAGAATGAACTGTGCGCACTCCACTACACTCCATTTAGTCCAACGACACAATGAGACAGGCTCTGTGAACGACCGGCCTCGTCCTGGACGTCAAAGGGTAACAACAGCAGCAGAAGATAGACAAATTGTGTTACAGCCGTCAGGATCTGATTGACGCACTTGTGGATGAGTGGAATGCTATTCCACAATATCGAATATAGCAACTGATCCGCAGTATGCGCCGCCGTTGTAAGGCTGTGATCGATGCAGTGGGTGGGCATACCAGATACTGAGGTTTGTGATTTTTGGATTTCTACCAGCCTTGTTTAAGGCGTTACCTTGCAGAGCTTACGATGCAAATTGATAGTACTGCTGTGCCAAAATGTGCTAAAATGCCTAATCATTGTCCTGTTATAATGAGATATCAAAACCCCTTTCAGATAAATAAATTAGCTTACTTTTTATGGGTGGTGCGTTTTCATTGCATGCCAGTATATATATATATATATATATATCCCTAAGTTCGAATCACTCATACACATACATTGACAAGTTTGTTGAGAGAGTTGCATCTTCAGATTTCAAGAGATTATTAAAGTTGAATACATTTATCTGAATGCCAGGAATATATTTGGCTCTTAAGCCATTATACCGCGGACACACAAACACGAAATGGTACTTGTCCAAACAATGTGTGTTCCTGTGACTTACTTGGATATTTCATCTTCAAGATATTTAAGATGTGTCATAAAAAAAAAAAAACATTTTATCCAATACATACACTGCTTTGTAACTTGTATTTTACTTTTCATTTTTTCATAAATAACTGTTCTTTTACCCAGATGTTTCTAAGCTATTGTAATAACCACCTATAAAAATAAATAAAAGAAAAAAATCAATTATTCCAAACCTTTTGCTGCTAAGGACCAAACCTCTTCTACACTTTTTAAGTTAAGAAGTGGCACATCTGATGTCACTTGACTAGCAGTGAAAAGTCTTACTTGAGTGTACTTTGAGGCTCCTTCAAGCTCTTCACTTGCATTCAGCATCTTGAAAAAATACATATTGAGCTGTTGAATCTAACACTCTTCAAAGCTGTGCAAAAAATGTACATGTGCCAGTATATGTAACATACTGTCAGTGTTTTCAAATCAGCCAGTATGTAAAGTGCCATTTCACATGTGTATTTTCCCAATTTTGCCTTTGATTTTTATGGGTATATGAGAGCCATAATAATAACATTTAGTACACCTGACTGTAAAATTTTCAAGGGTTTCATTTCTGATGAAGTGTAGGTATGCACCTGTATCTTGGTATTTTTTGTGAAATTACTAACAGTTTTTTTTTGTTTTTTTTTACAAATTTCATAGTCACCATATCTGTTGTAAACTGCATGTTGCTTTGTCCTGAGCACAGCCATACATCTCCAAAGAGGACATCTTTTATTGCCACCTGTCCATCAACAGATTTAACACTTATAATCACAGGGGGAGTGGAAGAGGGTGTGGGCTTTAATAAAACTTTCCATACACCTGGTCCTGGGTTGTCTTGAGGATCTGAAAAGATTTTTTCAAGAAGCATGAAAAGATGAGCCTTTAGAAACATGTGAAGGGGCAAGGTTTTTTTTTCAAAATTTGAAAGAGCAATTAATAAATTTAAGACCTGCAAATATGGGGTCTAAATCTGACATATTCAAGGTATAAGGTGAAAATTTTCAAAAACAACTTTGATTGTAGAAAATTTTCTGGAAAAAATATTGTTTATGATATATTAATTACTAGGAAACCAGCATTTACACAGTTTAAATAAAAAAACTTACTTTTTTGCACAGTGGCAGAATAAGAATCATTCTGTACAGTGATTTTGACTACTGATCCTAGAGTTTTTGCAAACCCCCATACCATAGCCTGCTTAGGTGCTTGTTGCAACACCATGTGATCTCCATAATGACTGGCAAAGCTCAGGTCAGCAGTGACTTCTACAAAAGATAATAATGCTGAATGGGTTATTAGACAAACACACACAGACTGTCCATCATCTACATGTATGGGGCAGGGGAATGGTTATTTACAAAGATGTTAAAACTGGATAAATTTTGTTTCCATGACCTTTTCCTAGGTTTGCAACATCCATTATTCTTTTTAAATGTGAAACACCTATAATGAAGCATATTATAAATTTGACTGCACAATATGTTGTTGAACAAATCACTGTATACTGGTACAGGTTGTGAACTTGCTATCTCAGCTCTCATTTACAAACAGATGAAAATAAAGTGTTCTATTTTTTGTCAAAAACTTTGGAAAAAAAACTAGGATTTTAATCATAAACAATTCAGCATAAAATAAATATTACATGGCGGCTAGTCACCCCTGCATGCACCCATTATCTGTAACTTTTGTTTGGTATTTAGTGATAAATAATTATAATCACAACTGCATTTGCAGGTGATAAAGGATTACAACAGGTGATAAACAATTACAATACTGGATCCAGATACAGATAAAGTGCTATATGATGTTTGATAATGATGTACTGGTACAGTTTACATGGTGTACCGGTAGTCCTGGCAGTGCTGAGTTGCGGTTGAATAGTTGACCAGTATAAAAACTTTGTAAACTATTTTAATACAGGCAAATGCATATTTTATGAAGGATATGACATAAATAACAATAACATTACATTAAATTAAAGCAATAATAACTCTTCGTTTCGGCCAAAAAATGAATTTTCCTGGAGTAAACAACAATTTTCCCATACTTACCAATGGTTAATGAGTCCATTTTTACATTCAAAGTTAGTCCCTGGTTTTTTTCTAAAAAGTGTGGTTTTTTGTTAAAATCTCTTAAGAGATTTTAACAGAGTATAGACATCAATGGAGGTCATGTGGTCTAAAGACAAGTTTAGATATCAGAATAAAAGCTATAACTGCTGTTTTTGTGGTAAAACAGAATATATTATATTTCTATGAGTTATTCACAAGGTTTTTATTGTGAAATATAGATCTCATATGAAGAGTTATTATCCCTTTAAGGTATATTATTTATTCCATTTGCTATTGATGCATATTCAAAAGCTTGGGCCAAATGATCCAAGTAAAAGTAATGTTTTCTTTTAATATTATTGTTACTGAAAGCAAGGAGTTCCAACAGTTGGAACTCCTTGCTGAAAGATATATATATACATTTCAACCTCAAAAGCTTTAGATATTACTTACTTTTTCCAGCTCTTGTTGATGCACTGTTAAATATAACCAAGAGCAACAGTATCAATAAAGGCCTCATCTTCAATCTGTAACACAAGAAACAAGCCCGGGAGCCACTGGTCTGCCGCTAGGTGGCTATTAAACAAACCGGAAGTTCGAGAATTTGAATTGGGCAATATTTTTTGAGATTTATAGGGTGTCATAAACGGTGTATTATCTCGGCTATTAACGTACTTGGGGTTACAATATGTACATTGTCATATTGAGAAATAAATTTCGAATAATGTGAGATGACCCAAAAGTTGATCTACAGCATATTTAATGTTGAAAANCTGCGGGCTTCAGAATTATTCCACAACTCTGTCTCGTTTTCAATAAAAATTCTAGCATCGCTCGGCCAGAAAGATACACAGCCGACACAGGTTGTGTGCATTGTAATATTGAATGATTTTTGGTTTCAAGAAGAGAATTTTGAAATATTAAGTACTAAAATAGTTGCTTATTCTTTTCTTTAAAGCCATTACTTTTATAGTTTTTTCATTCACGAATTTCGCAGTAACGTAGCGTTATTCTCTTGGAATCTTACCAGTAATAGATTCGTATCGGTGAGCTTGGGTCGCCAAGACAACATGCGCAAACAGCATGCGTGTTGGGGATATGTTGACAAATTACAACGAGTGGTCCAACACACTGTTTTCAGTTTGGCGAAACTTTTATCAAACTAGTAGTCTAGTCATCAAGGCTTAGAATGCCTCATTTAAAAGAACCAAAGGTGACAGAACCTTTATGGAAAGATTGGGATTACAAGGCACAGAAGAAAGGGATCCGTCACACCGTTTACTCTGTAAATGGTGACGAATACACCGGGGAATGGCTAGATAATAAAAAACATGGTGAGTTCCCTAAGAAAACCATTTCTTCGTTTTTCACGTGAAGGCAGGATATTCCTTACTTTACTTAAGACTATCTTAATCACTGATCATCGTGTTGTTCACAATTCATGCAGCTTGGTGAATAAAGCTTTCTCGTCGTTTTCAGGCAAAGGAACATATAAATGGAAATCAACGGGAGCTATTTATGATGGAGACTGGAAAAATGGAAAAAGGAATGGTTTTGGAACACTCAGCACACCTGATGGAAAAGGTGGATTTAAAAAAGAATATTCTGGAGGTTGGAAAAACCACATGAGACATGTAAGCCTATTGTTTTTCTTTGTTTTCCAGATAATAATGCGTATATGGACATACTTTTAAATAGTTATTTTTTAATTAAAAGATGACAGTAATTATGTTAATTATTCTATTAACTGGTATAAATGCAGTAATTTGAAGTTTAACGTTTCCATGTATATACAGCATGTGATATGAAAAAGTGTTTTGTTAGTTAATTTCCCTTTTATAGTGAAAGTTATGATTTTCATTTTTAGGAATTGATATTATTAATGTGATAAGATGCAAGTCGCACATTTAAACAATAATCTTAGGAGTCAATATGTGTCAAAAAAGTTTTTTTTCAGTCTAGTCAAAGGACCTTTTAACCCCCCCCCCCCCCCTCCCCACACACAAATAAATAAATAAAGATCTAGTCTATTCACATTATGCAAGATAGTTAGTTTAATACATTTTAATTGTAATTTTCAGGGTTATGGAACACAGTATTATTCTGATAATGAATATTATGAAGGAGAGTGGTATGCTGATAAAAGAAGTGGCTGGGGAAGGATGTACTATGCTAATGGAAATATATATGAAGGAGAATGGTATGACGATATGTGCAATGGACAAGGAATGTTGCGATTAGGTGAGAATCAGTGATTAGCAAAACCCATGAAATTGAATTGGACTTTTTAAAAAACACCAATTATGTGTTTTGATATATGTGAAATATTAAAAAAAAAAAAAAATACAACTTACAGATATTCCAGAGGTTTTCAGTATCTTTCTATTTACTGGCTAACACTACAGAGCTCCACACTCATCAACACTTTTTCATTTTTTAACCTCTTTTCTTCACTTAACTCGATTAAAGGAACAGCAATTGAGAATTTATGTTTACTTGCTTAAGGCCCCTATTTCACACAGACCACGAATCCCACGAATCGCCAGGAATTGACAAATTTTAGGATTCGTGAGATTTTGCCAATTTTCTGGTCTTATTCGACACGCTCATGATTCACTTACAATACAGGTACGATAGTGTTACGAATATTCGTGGGATTCGGCTGGAATCGTGAGATTTTGCCAATTTTCTGGTCTAATTCGACACGCTCTACGATTCAGTTACGATACAGGTGCGATAGTGTTACGAATATTCGTGGGATTTGGCTGGAATCGCACGAATATTGTCCAGAAATTCACTATGATTTCTTGGAATCGGGAGTTCGTGGCCAAAACTATGAACAGCTCAAAATTTTTGCCACGAATTCCCGATTGATCAAGAATTGCAAGAACTGACTACGATTATATACGAATCTGTTAAGAACTTCACAAACTGATTACGATTCAACCAAATTTTCAATTCCTGGCGATTTGTGGGATTTGTGGTCTGTGTGAAATAGGGGCATCAAAGTTTTTGCCACCCATTCCTGTTGGTCAAGAAGTGCAAGAACTGACTACGAATATATACGAATCTGTTAAGAACTTCATGAACTGATTATGATTCAACCACGAATCGTGAAATTTGTCAATTCATGGCCATTCGTGGGATTCGTGGTCTGTGTGAAATAGGGGCATTAAACGACGTTTGCGACAACCGACTTCCTGGGGGGGGGGGGGATTTTTTTTTTTTTTTGGAGAACGGACGAAAATCGGTGCGCGCGCAGGATGTCATCCATAAAATTAAAAAAGTGTGGCCTAAAGTAGATTAAACATGCCTTTAGACATTAACAAATTATTTTTAGAGATAAGGAGGAAAAATAATTAAAAACTGTCTTTTTATACATTAAACTTATAATTATGTTTGTGTTCAGTCTTAAGTATGTCACAGCTCACTGCATTACCCTCTCTTATTTTCAAAAGCCAATGAAAACAGATATGAGGGTGAATGGAAGGATGGGAAGAAAAATGGAAGAGGAAAATATTTTTACTTGGACAAGGGTCAGCTTTATGAAGGTGTCTGGGTTGAAGATATTGCTAAGTGTGGTGCTATGAAAGACTTTGGCAGACAACATGCTCCTGATCCTACAAAATATCCCATAACTGCTGTAAGTTATTTGTTTTTCAAAATATGAATGTTGGTTTAAAAGGGGTAGATTTTAAAGATGCAGTTTTGAATAATTTACCACATGGGTATATGTTACTTCCAATAAGAGATAAATTGGGTATGAATTTAAAAAAAAATGTAAAAATGACCCAAAAATCAATATTTTTGGTACATGTAGTAAGTATAGTTTACCACCGTTTCCTTTGAATGTACATTACTTGTACATTTGAGAACAGAGTACCAGAATATGAAATTCACACGTTAGTCATGATTAAGTAAATATTTCAAACAAGCCTCCTAAAACAATTATCAATTTACCTTTTTGAATTTCAGATAAAACTAGCAGAACCAGAACTGGTATTAGAGGAGGCTGAAAATATGTTTCTGCAAGAACAAGAATAAGGACAATATTTGGGTGTCTATTTGGATATCACGTTTGGACCCTGCCTGAATACTTCAACATCCACAGCCTCATGTGGAGGACTGACATTTCATTGAACACTTGGTGGGATTTATGTCAATATTTGTACATCTTGTTTATATGTTAAGATATTTGAAATGTAAATATACACTATTGTAAATAAATAAAAGTAACAAATATACACATATAGTAATTTGTTTATTGAAAATCTTATCTGTTTATGCAACATACCTTTTTAAAATAACAGATCAACAAATAAAAATTACTTCTAAGCATATTAACAGTAGAGGGGAATATTAACTGTGAGGCCGGAATTTTGATCAACACTGACATTAGATTAATCTGTCCTAGTCAACTAAAATGTAGCAATGTCCTATGTTTCTTTAAAAATGCATTTCAAGCTGACATACCAAACTTTGCCACTGAACCACTAAATGCCACCTTATAATTTCAAACAGTATAACTTAAAAGAAATACCAAGGGGTATCTTTCATATTTCCATTAAAATGTTATTTAAACTGATATTTTGTACCTTATTTCTGTGCTATACCTTATTTGAATATTTATGCTGTTGCACATGCAGATGCAGGAGTGTGTTGTTACGTCATTTGTCAAACTTTTACAAACTGGAGGGGCGGATAAGTAAGTCAGAATGTGCGGTTTTAAAGCTTCGAGCGAATTATTTGGTTTATCCTTTGGCATATGGGCTTTATTTGAGTTGTGTTAGACAATGGTCGTAAGGATTTATACTTAAAGGGAATCTGCTCAAATATGTAACTTTATAATTCACAAAAAAATTATATATATATATATATATATATATATATATACTCCTGTGTTAAGTTCAATGAAATTTAAAGGACTTCAAGTTAAGGACTTTTAAAGTTCTAATGTGAAACAAGGCTGGAGACCTGACATTTTAACAAATACAATGCCCTAATAATTTTATGAAGACCATTTAGCTAAAGTAAAATAAAAAAAGGACAGCCTATTGTTCCATATTCGAAACAACATAACATCAGTTGCACGAATGTCTGAAATACATAACTGTATTACTGGTATTGTACTAAATGAATATATTCCATACCTTGCTTTCTGTAACAGGCTCTCAGCCAGGGGGGTTGGGAGGGGGCAGGCTAGTAAGAACTGCCCTTTTGACCAGTAAATGTCTGAATCAAAATTTGATCCAGGTTCTATGCCATTTCTCAAATAAGTCAACAGCTGGGTCAACTAAGGGGGTAGAAAGGTCTACTTTTTTTTCAGAAAAATACCCCCCCCCCCCCCCCCCCCCCCCCCCACCCAA